ACAGTGCCACCCTCAAAGCAGCTAGCAGCACTCTCCATTCCAACGCTTCCCGAGCTGCCATCGACTTGTACCACCCACAAGTTCTGCTCAACGGCTGGCCTCCTCCACTCCCGGCAATAGATAGATCTGAACAAACACTTCAAAGATCCGCAAGACGAACGCTGGCACAGCTTCGCTCCGGCCATTGCATACTTCTGAACAGCTACAAAAGCAGAATTCATAACAACATCAATAACCTATGCAACTACTGCCACCTCTCCCCAGATGATGTACCCCACCTCTTCAACTGCCCCAACAATCCAACTCCACTCAGCACCATAGACCTTTGGAGGGACCCAGCTGCGGTCGTGCGTTGGCTCCAGCCACGGCTGGATCAATGACGCCGGGATCGGGCGCAGGGCAACAACAACCCCGTCAGGGCTGACATTGGGTGGTCTAATTTACCCCATTTGGGGGCGGTGCCCCCTATTTGCAAACTATGACACTTTCCTAAAATTTGTCATTTGCATATGTAACTAGAAGAGTTCTACTACAATGCATCAAAACCTGGAGTTATTTAACCAAAAAATAAAAAAATTGGAGGGGGTACTCTGACAGGCTTTAAATAATAGCTTTTTTTCGTGGGTCACATTTTTAATTTTTTAACCTATTAGATATGCAAACTTTTCAAATCTTTCTATTGTGTTATGTAGCCTCAGTATTAGGCCTTTAATGCCCATTGACAAAATTTTTCTATGTCAAATAGTTTTTGAGTTGTGGGGGTTTTTGTTAAAAAAACGAAAAGTGGTCTAAGTTACCCCGCCGGTCTAAGTTACCCCATTTTACGGTACAGAAAACAAGCACCAATTTCAATGTCTAATCCTAGTCCGCAATACCGGAATTGAAGGTGGCGGGTGTTGATAATGGGCACATATGAACGAGTCCTCTACTAACACTATCTGCCAATAATTAAATCACTACAATCACATCACTTGTTGGTCGCACAACTGGTTAACTAAATAACTGGTGGTCTGAAAGTCAAAGCCCCATTATACTTGAAAGAGTCGACATTAGGGCAGATATTCCTAGTAACTTGCAAATACAGCAATCCCTTGATTAATGCGGTTAATAAATCCCCGAGTTTTACCGTGTTATGCAAAACTGCGCTAATCAAACTTAAGAATATATGGGAATAATTATAATGAATCCTCAAAAATAGCAAAGTTACATAATAATTTTTTCCCACTAAAATTCATCAGATTTTTTTTCTAACTAATAGGGGAAATAAATAAGAGAAATGCAAATGAATTAACGTATTGTTTCCCATGCGTATTGTTGACTCGGGAAACCCTAGGTCTTCACCGATCTTCGTTTTTGTTTCACCATTATCAAAACACTTAATTATTTTAAGCTTAGTCTCCAAAGTGATATTTTTACGTTTAAGCATTCCCTTTTTGTCCATAATTATGACGGTAATTTATCAAGGAAAATTATGTAGTTTGATAAAAGTGAGCAGTAGATATGGCAGCGATCTTGACCAGTTGAAGGCTAACGAGTAACTAGAGCACCGGCATGGCGCACTTACCGGCGAACGTTGCCGAACTCGACCATTCGAGTTATGAACGAGACGAGGCGCGGTTAAACCGACTCTGTGGTCAGCACAAGTGCCTACGGAAGGGGACCTTATTTAAAGAATTATTGGCTGAAATTCATAAAGTAACAACATTTGGCAAATTTTTCCAAAAGTCGTAACAAAAGTAACAACATAAGATCTAATAAGCAAAAAGTAACACTTTTGTTACAAACGTAACACCTCTGGCTAGAGGCGGGAAAACGATGCATTGTGAAAAAAAGTCGCGCTAATCAAAACTGGCACCACGTAGATTAAGGGTAGGTCGCAAATTTTTTTTCCGCATTAATCAAAACCGCGGTAGGTATTCAAAACCGTGCTAATCAAGAGATTGCTGTATTGGTTTAAAACCAGCGTATCCAAATGAAATGGCTAAAGACTTGCTCATGAACAGGACTAATATGCAGCTAACTCAGTTAATTAAGTAATGATAACAAAGCCTAGGTTGACTTTTAAACAATGAGCTTCAGCAAGGCGATCTTCAAGGAGCTGCAGTTTGGAAGATGAGAAGACTCAGTACAGGAAGGTCAGGACTGGGCCAGTCTGGGCTCTAGGTCTCCTCAACAGCGTGCCAGCTGGGTCCCACACCGACTGCTCCTATCAAGTTAATAAAATAACGGGACTAGAGTCTATGGTCTTAGAGTGCAGTTCAAGGGGATGTGTACCTCAAATCAGGAGTATTTTTGTTTGGATTTAAACAAGCAATAATGCATAAATCAGCAACAACACAGGACAAATGTCCAAGCAACATAGCAAGACAAGAAAAGAAAATACAGTATGGCAAGGCAAACACGTGATATGAGATCTAATAGTTGTAATGATTCAAATTCAATGTGAAAGCAATCAGGTAAGTGAATAAAGCAATTCAAAACAAGAACAAGGTGACATTAAACAGGTAACAAAGTAATAAGCAAGCTTTATTGCAGTAAATTAAGTGCATGAGATTGAAAAGGAGAGATATATTACCGTCAACCGGGGCTACTCGGGACGATTTCGAACGTTTTTCATTCATAACTTCTTATCATGAAACATTTCATAAACAAGTTTAGGCTCTGATCTAAGCTCTTTGCAAGGGCTATCGCATGGCTTCTCCAAAAAAATTCCATGTGCTATTTGTAAGGTGCTGGAAGCAAAAAAAGTGTCCCGAGTAGCCCCGTCGAACGGGGCTACTTGGGACACTTGGAATTAAACTTAATTTTAAACAATTTGAAGCATGCAGAGTGTACTCACCCATTACTGACAGTACTCTGAATTCCTCATCTTTCATTGTAGATGATGTAGAGGTAGAATAAATGACATTTTCTGTGATTTCTACTTGGTTTTTCCTTTATTGATATAATATTACCATATACATTAATTACTGTATTATTGATGCGATATTACCGTATCCATGAACATGCCATTGAGCATTTACAACAACCTTGTCTGCTGCAAGCTTTGTATCAGCAGCCTTATAGCATTTTTTCTGTACCTTCAACCGGGCTACTCGGAACTGGCGGGGCTACTCCGGACAGTCCTCCGACACGGCGTAAAACTGTTATAGTAGCAAAACGAATTGGAATATTGCAAAACTAAATATAGTGGCATAAAAGTCAACATTTTTCCTATCTATGTAGTATAAAGGAAGTCAAAAAATACTACATTTACTAGCTTTGAAAAATTCCTGAATAAAATGGTGAAAAGTTACTTCTGCTAAGGTCTGTAGCCAAAAAAATATTTGGCGTATTAAAAAATTTCACTTACATAAAAGATGCACCCAGGTGTCGGCTTGAAAACGTAATTGACGGGATTGTCCTGACTCATACAAAAAAAAATGACGGCCATTTCTGCACGGCGGGACTACTCTGGACACCCCCCCAGGCTATTTGGGACACCCCCAAAAATGCATTTACAGTAGAACCTCAGTAAGCAAAGGGTCCAGTTAAGAAAAAAATGGATTAAAAACAAAGTATTGATTACATTTACCTCGCTCGGCAGAAAAAATTTCACTTATCAGAAAATTAGTGCATCATCGGTCATCACAAAATTGTACATAGAATGCTATATATATAATTGTGCACCAGGAATCGTAGAATGAAAAGTAATTGACCTAAACTATGATTTATTTCTCCAAAATATATGATGGTTGTCACTAAAACATTCCTTTCTGTTTCAGGTATGTTTTTCACAATCTTTTTTTTTCTAGTAAATTCACTTTACCCAATTAAAATGGCGCATAAACGAATACTATTATGCTTGCCATGTCCGTCTGTCTGTCTGTCTGTCTGTCCATCTGTCCATTTGTCTGGGACCTCAAGTTTTCGTTGACGAGAAAATGCGCTCTCTGTCAGTCACTGCAGTGAGTACTGAGTTATATTTTTTATAGTAAATTCACTCAACCCAATTAAAATGGTGTGAAATTACAAGCTGTCCTGTGAGCTTACAGATACAGAAAAAATTCTATAAGGCTGCTGATATGAAGCTTACAGTGGACAAGGTTGTTGTAAATGCTCAATGGCATGTTCATGGATACGGTAATATCACATCAATAAAACAGTAATATTGCATCAATAATACGGTACCGTCAACTGGGGTGACTTTGGCTGCGTTTTTTATTTTGTTTTGCAAACAAAAGCAGGGTCATAAACGATGGCCAAAGTCACTCTGGCGTTGATGACCTTGTTTACAACCCTGGCGTTTATGACCCCGGCGTTTAGGACCCCATTTTTGTTTGCAAAACTAAATCAAAAACGCAGCCAAAGTCACCCCAGTTGACGGTAATTAATGTTTATGGTAATATCATCAATAAAGGAAAAACAAGTAAAAATCAATGAAAATGTCATTTGTTCTACCTCTACATCATCTACAATGAAAGAAGAGGACTTCAGAGTACTGTTAATAATTGAGTACACTCAGCATGCTTCAAATATTTTAGAATGAAGTTTTATTCCCAGTGTCCCGAGTAGCCCCGTTCGACGGGGCTACTCGGGGCTACATAGGTTTTCTTTAAAAATTAGCCAGAAATTCAATATTTGCAGAAGAGGGTTGAAATAAACACTGAAATGACAAGAAATGATTGCTCTAACATATTCTTTTGTCAAATTAAATTTAGTGCAATTAGAATGCACACCATGCGCTGGTCCTTTCTTACCTCATGAAGGCTGCGATCCTGTCTTACCCCATTTGACTATACCTAGTGCAATATCTGGCTGATTTAGTTTTTACATATGCTAGAATCTCAGCATATATTTGCAACTAGTAAACCTGCAGCAGCCACTTTGCTAGCATAAGAAATGCTAACGTCTCTCAGGAGCATATAAAATAGTTCATTCTAAGCTACGTCATTCCTATTTTAAGACTTGTTTGGATAAATAGTTTTACAATTTATCAGTTTTCTCTGATATCTTTACAGAGTCGACAAAACGGGTGGATGACCTGAAGCGGCGCTCTGCTATAGCTCAAGCAAAAGTAGATCATCTCAGAGGGACAGATAAAGCAACTCAGGTGCTTGCCCTCATTTATTGTAAATTTTTATCTTTAAATTACCTTTAGCAACAAATATAGGTACTATTGTGATATGTTGTGATTATGAATGACTTGTGCAGTTAATGGAATGGGTTGTTCCTAACTTGAATTCTGAAATTTTGTTAAAATTCTATTTTACTATAAATAATGAATGATTTTTTTAGCAAAAAGTGGTTGTATTATTGTTAGTAAAATAGTATCCTTATAATTTCAGGTTTTTTCTAGTAGCATTTATCCTGGTCATGCCCAAGCTTGCTACTACTCTCCTCTCTTCTCTGATGATATCGTGTCTACCACCAAATGCACCAGCACAAAACATGCAGCTCACCAGTTTTCTACTGATGCCATACAGGTCAGATTTCTATTTTAAAGGGGATCAGTTTGAAGAGTGAACTTTGAATTTCTTGGAACAACAGTTCTGCGCAGCTTCTAGATATGTTATAATTCAGGGTTGGTGATTTTTTTTATTTTTTAAAGAAATAAAAAATCAATGATTTTTTTATTTTTTCATCTTTTGTCTTTTTGAAATGTCATTTTTTATTTTGCAATTAGCCTACTAATAATAACAGTATATGGATGGCTAACAAGGGCAGTTATTGCCTTCAAGAATGGCCAAGGTGGTGTTTACCACTTTGGGACTTTTGGGTAAACAATTATTGATAAGGCTATTAATTAACTTTGTAAAGTTTGTATGGAGCAAGGTAATGAGCTACATATTGACTATTTAACTGGCTTCAATATACAAAAACACTTTAGGAATGCAGATCTTCTGAACATTGAAGAATCACACAATAGATTGGTAGCTGATAGCACAGTGCACAACAATATCAATAGATCTACTAGTTTCATGTCCTATAAATCTACCAGACTCTACCCTCTAAACACACCAACTAGTAGTGTCTGAGTGACTGACTGCACTGTTCCCATTTGATTCAGACCATCGAACAAATACTAAACATAAACTGAACGAAAACGAAACAAACCTCAAAGGACTTGAAACTAGAAATCTGAGAAAAGTTAACACTGTTTGAGATAAACATGTGCACAATTTAAACATTTTATTTCCATTCACTGCATTTAATTATTTTATATATAGTTTTATGATTGTAATTGTTTTGTTTTTAGGTTCAAATTCACATATATAAAAATTGAAATTGAATATTTTAATTAAAATACTCATATTAGGGTGGAAAATCTTTCTAAATGCCTAAAAGCTCAATACAATCTCAACCTCTCAATATTAAAGCTAGCTAACACATGTAAATTGTATAATGTAATTAATATATAACAAATAGTCAAATAGTTAGTTAAAGACTACTTAGAGCCTTAGCTTAGAATTAGCTAAGCTGCTAGCTATGTACAATGTATTGCAACACTTGATGCCTCTGTACCAAAAACATACAATTTATTGGAATGTAATATACACTAAAGGCAACAGGTTTATATTCCAATTTGTCATAGTACATTTATACTAAACCATGGATAACAATACCTCAAAATAAATCAAAGACTGCCACTCAATATATTTAAATATATAAAAAATAAAAAAATTTTAAATTGAAAAAATTTAAGAAAATCATTATTTTCTATGAAAAATTACATGATATACAGTAAAATGGGGTAACTTAGACCACTTTTTTTTTATAAATGATGCCATTTTTTTACTAGCTAAATTAAACTTGAATTGAAACATGCAAAATACAGGTCTATACTCTAGCTTCACTCANCGTGCTCAAACTCATGGAGAGGAGCTCGCTTAAAGCTGGATTGCCTGATCCTGGACACTGCTTTAGGTTTGGGGTGGGTGCAATGCATATTTTTTTCTAACTCAAACCTGCAATTCAGACGGTTTTTTTTATTTGTATACTTTACAAAGGCTTTTTATTCCAAACTGTTCATTTGACAATTCCGTCGGTGTTCGTGGTGTACTGAAGCGGCCGTCCAGCGTCAGAAAGAAAAACTGAACTGCTACGTCCGACAAAAAATTAAAGATACGGGAGGCCCGAGGCCGTATAATCAAAAATAGTTACAAGCATTGAACAACGTCAGCCAATTATTAACTTCTTGGCACCCTAAAGCCAAAGATCTCAGACGAAAAATCGACCGCCACGTGTACTTAGACCGCTACGTGTATTTAGACCGCTTCGTATATTTAGACCGCTACGTGTACTTAGGCCGCTACGTGTACTTAGACCGCTATGTGTACTTAGACCGCTTCGTATATTTAGACCACTACGTGTACTTAGGCCGCTACGTGTACTTGAGCAAATTCTGATAGTATTCCGCCTCAATGATGCATTTTTTTTGTCAGGTGGAGGACAAGTTTGTGTGCAGTGCGAGCGGTTGCGTGCGGTACGTTGAACGGAGCGACCTGTACCTGCCTCTGCCGGTGCCGCTGGAGGCCGCGACCAACAAGCTGCAGGTTCAGGAATACAACCAACGCAAACTAGACGCCGAGAAACTTGGCAACAGATTGTACGTTGCATATTATTATTGTCTCGTGTTTTAAGATTATTGGTAGTCATAGGACGTTTCTGATTTTATTTATGTACTATGATATCAACCGTAATAAAAATGTTCTGGAATGAAGTTAGAGATTGCTTGAGAGTTAAGCTATATTCTTTGTGACAATGTCTGAAATTGTTCGCCCATGATAAAATTGTTTTTGAATAAAATAGAAAAGTTCATCGTCCAAAGCACGGAATGATTGTGCTTTCATCAAAGAATCTACTTGTAAAACACTTTGTTGATGATTCTAATTGTTTGCAGCACCGAAGATCTGTCTCTTATACACATCTAGATGTGTATAAGAGGCCGGTCTAAGTTACCCCATTTTACGGTAATCAGTTTGATTTAATCATTGCCAACCCTGATGTATATAGATATAGGTACTTATATAGTTTGATTAAAGACCAGAGCATGCTTTTTATTAAGGCCTATAATTTTGCAAGTTACTTCTCCTGTATACCAGACCTCTAAAGAACTGGATGCTATAATTTAGCCATATATCCCTAAGAAATACTCTTTGAAATCTAGAAATGACTTCTTGGAAATTATTCATGCCTTGCACCCTTCTGGCCTGCTAGCTTTGCTGGATGTTACTAGTTTGTTCACTAATGTACCAGCGGAAGAAACATTAGAAATTATCATGAAGCATGTGTAGTTGCACAAAACCCTTCAAGCCCCACCAATACCAAAAAAAATCTTAATTGACTTTCTTTGCCTCTGTACATCAGAATCTCCCTTCTGGACTCCTGATAACAAAATTTACCGGCAAATTATTGGCATTGCCATGGGATACCCTCTGGGACCAACTTTTGCAGAATTCTATAGGTGTGAACTGGAAAATCAAGTGTTCTCCAATACACAGATCAAGCCTGAGCTGTACTGCAGATAAATAGATGACATTTTTGTTGTCATTCAAGACAAAAAACACTTGATTGAACTGCAAAGAGCTTTGGAACATGAATCAGTCTTGAAGTTTACCCATGAAATTGGACAAAATATCAAATTGCCATTCCTAGATATATTATTGCAAATTGAAGATAATTCCTTTTTCACTAGTGTTTACCAAAAACCTACCAATGTTGGGAAAGCGCTTGACAAAAAAAAATGAATGCCCTCAGTTCTATAAAATCAGCACAGTGCACGCCCTCATACAAAGAGCATTCAAGACCAAGACCTGCACATCTGAGAGTGATTTGAAAACTGAACTCGGATCGTGTAAATAAATTCTAGTAAACATTGGGTTTTCATATAGAACAGTTGACACTGAAATATCAAATTACTGATCAACAGGAAACTGAACCAACAATGAAGCAATACCTAATGGAACCCCCACAGCGGTCTTCTACCAAAACCAGATGAACAGAGGCTACAGAGTGAGTGGATGAACAAGTCCTACAGTCAATCATCCATGATAATATCAAGAGCACAACAGCTAATGAAAATATAAAACTTCTGAGCTACTACAAAAATAAGAAAATTAAAAACCTCGTAATGAATAATAATCCCTGTAAAGAATCTGGACTGCTTCAAGAAACTAATGTTGTTCATAAATTCTCATGTAATAAAGGAGGTTGTAGATTTTTTCCAAGTATAAACTACTGCATCGGTCTTACTAGCACGACCATAAACCACTGACTCGCATGCCACCAACAATCTGGAGGACCTAAGAACCACATGCGGGAGGCTCACAATGAGACCATCACCCGAGCGACATTGGAGGCCTTAGTTTTGCAGTGCCCAGACACATCGAGACTGGCAATAGCTGAGGCCCTCATTATCAAGAGCCAGTCTCCAGTTATCAACCTCCAAACTACAGGATTTGTCTGGATGCTGAAATTATTTTCAGAGTAATTTTAAGCTTAGATTTCAAATTGTATCCACAGTACATACCCTTGATTTGTACTACTGTCATTTCCAAAGTTCAATTTCAAGTGTTGCAAAACCTTCACCTGCTTGATAATGAAAATAGTATTTTTTGAAACGTTGTATTCCATTAAAATGTCATTTAGTAACCTGCTTTTGATCTCATGGTGTCAGCAAGAAATTTTGTTTGACTTATTGAGAAAACAAATAAAAGGATTATTAATAAAAAGCATGCTCTGGTCTTTACTCAAACTTGCATAAAAGAAAAACTTCTGCCAAACTACACCAATATGTATATAGGTACATATATACCGTATTCATTTGGTATATGTAATTGTGTGTTTACAATAAAATACAATAAAATGATTATTTTTCAGTTATTTCTCAGTTTTAAATATTGGTTCAATTATAATTGTTGCTTTATTAAACACGCTTCTTGTTTTATTACAGCAGGACCATGGAGAATTCTTCCATGTCAGGAGCAGTGGAGCAAAGCTTGACATGTTTGGGCAACCTGTGACAGCCGCCATGCCGGGCAAAGTTGGACATGTGAAGACCTTACCAGCTCATGTCAACTCAGTTACTTCGCTGCTTCTTTTTGGAACTTCTACAAACCTGTATGTTGTGATATTGAATTTCTATGTTCTTTCATATTGCTTTGTTGAATTTACACACATGCACTATTGTTGATTTTTTCATATTTTTAGGTACAAAGGGAAAAAGCCTTCTTCTAGTAAGAAAATCATCAATAAAGCTGGCAGTTCTGAGGCTGATCAGTCTTCAGCAATTGGCGATGCTCCGTCTACACTCACGGTACTGAAACTCTTGCTTTGGTCTGTACAAAACATATTGATCTGTAATTTGAGAATCTTGTTATTTTAAGTACCATCATCTTGAATCTGGTTGTATCAAAATCAGTTCATCATTTTGAAACTTAATATCAGTTCAAATTTTTGAAACTGATAACAATAAAATATAAAACTAAATTTTAGTTACAAATCAAGAAAGTTTGGGTGTTTGATATTCCATTTTAGGTCTTGCTTTGAAAGGCAGCCAGTCTAGTGTTGCTGTTGATTCTGAAATTATTAAGATTGAAATGAAACACAATTTTTATGGTGGTGATTGCATAATTTCTCAAAGTTTAATGTTAGTATTTTATTTTTTTTTTTTTGCATTCCTTAACTGAATTTATAATTCATTTGAGATTGACCATTTCTGAAGTATACGGCACCTATGTTCTTGAATGATAACGATCAAAAAGCTCTAATGTATTCCTTGACTATCGTATTATTGATGATATGAGAAGTAGGTAAATAGAAGACTTTTTCATTTTTGCCTCTGTGTTGATATATTATTCCTTTATTTCAGAAAGGAGATCTTGCAGATCTCATATCTCAAGACGAGTTCCAGTATCTGCCTGACCTCTCAGACCTGCCAGAGCTTGACATGCCAGTTGATCTGCCAGCACTCACAGGTGTGTAATTATTTCATTTTTGTACTCCTTTTATATAATTGTAGTCATTGTGATTTCCTAATATTTTAGGAATCTATAGATTTCATAATTTGAATTTCAATGTACAAAGTATATGAAATATTATGCTGTCTAAATTATTTTTTTTTATTGTCAACATCATTTTACTTTTTATTAGACCTCCACGAAAACGTGATTGTTTTGTTTGCGAATAGTTAGGCAGTTGCACACATAATTCTGAAGTCTTCAGTGACTAATTTTGTTCTGCAACTGATTTGGCACCTTTTGCCTGCCTGTCTACTGACACCACTATCCTGTTGCCTGTCTGTCTACTGACACCACTATCCTGTTGCCTGTCTGTCTACTGACACCACTATCCTGTTGCATGCCTGTCTACTGACACCACTATCCTGTTGCCTGCCTGTCTACTGACACTACTATCCTGTTGACTGCCTGTCTACTGACACTACTATCCTGTTGACTGCCTGTCTACTGACACCACTATCCTGTTGCCTGCATGTTTTTACTGACTCCACTACCATTTTGACGAGCAGTTATCATGCGAACATCACTGTTCGCATGATAACTGCCACTGTTCACTACCATCATGCGAACGGACTGTTTTTATATCACTGAACGTGTTGTTAAAGAGGCATGATTGTAATGCTTATTTACCACAAATTTAAAGTCAGTATTTTTAATTATGCAATAGATTTTTCCTTGATTTTTTTAGCTGCATGTTCTTGTTCTGCTATAATTCTGGTTATGTTTTTATTATCTTGCAAGGCGCAATGTATTGCTGGCATAATTGTTAAATTATTTTGGGTGTGAATGTGCAGAGTTTACGAGATAGTGAATTTCATCAGAGTATTTGCTAATTCTATGACCCTACACTCGTCAGAAGGCACTAATTTCTTCTTGTTTGGCAGGTTTAGCAAATGACCTTCTGTTTGAGGGAGCCAACATAGCGCCGTCTGTGGGCGCGCTGCCTGCTACAATATTGCCCAGCAACACCAGCGCTACTGCCGTCAAAGAGCCCACTTCCAGTTCCTGCAGTTCTAACGCCTCCACTAAGGTTCCCTTTGCTCCACATCCTCCTCCTCCCTCTGGAGCTCCACATCCTCCACCTCCCTCTGGAGCTCCACCACCGCCGCCACCGTCTGGAGCTCCACCACCGCCGCCACCTCCACCTCCTCCTCCCCCAGCCGTCATGGCTCCAAGTGATGCAGTGGATGGCCGTGCGCCAGAGGTGTGGACTTTTTACGTGATTTCATTATCATTGTGGAAAATTATATATTTACAAACATTGCAATGGAAATTTGAAGTTAGAATTTCTTGCATTACTTAACCTTTGAACGTTTCTATATACTTTTCATTATTGAGGTAATAGAATAATGCATTCATTTTAAACTTTTCTTTCATTCACATTATGTTGAGCACTCATTACGCTTAAATCTTATGCTTCAATCACTTGGTCTTTTGCATCAACACATATTTGCCTATGTTCATAATCTCGTTGTTTTGTCTTTCCATGATAGGAATTTGTACATTTAGATATATTATATATAAATGCATAATATTTCAGCCCATAGCAGCGATGCAAGTGTTAGCAAAAATTCGCACTCTAACTTTAAAAATATTTTTTACAACATGTATTTCTACACTTCTTATTTTAATAATATCTCTTATAGACTTCTTCTTTACAAAGTAGTCTTTTAGGTATCGCAAGCTATAGTAAATCAGTTTAGTCTACAAGATTTAATTATGATGCACAAACACGAGCAGAAAATGCCAGCGGCGGTGCTGTCAGACGCGCGCAGCGACCTCATGAAGGCCATACAGCAAGCGGGGGGCGCTGGCAAGGCCAAGCTCAAGCGAGTTGATTCCAAGGTACATGGGATTTAATCAATTACATGTAATTTATACTTGACTTATTGCTCATCTTCTGCTCATTCGCTTCCTGTGCTGTTTTTTCATGCAATTACGCACAGAAAGTCGTGAATTTGAATTATAAGAATCAAACTGAGTAACTCTTTGCTGCCGCGTATTTTAAGGTTATTTCATTTATTATAATACATGCGATATGTTTACTTTTCTATGTCTTCTTTTTCATCTCAAATCGGGTATAATGAAAATATGTTTTCCTCATTTGAGTTAACCACAAATAATTCAAATATGTATTTGCTTCCTCTATATTCTGCTGAGAAAACAAACATTCACTCCTCGAATCTTTATATAGTTAGTAAATGTAACGCTGTAAACTGATCGTATGTTCGCACGGATAAAAACCTTCTTACTTTGTGTATGTTATGTGCCACTTTGTCGGCATGTCCAGCTTTACTAATAATTATTTCAGAGCGCAAAGAAAGCGTCAGGCTCGCCTCACGCCGACCTCATGAAGGCCATAGAAGGGAAGGCAGGAAGTTCATCCCTGCGAAGGGTCGAGCCTCAGACACGGGAGCCCGAGGAGCCCAGCAACCCGCACTCGCAGCTCATGCACGCCATCCAGCAGGCCGGCGGCTCTAAGAAAGCCAACCTCAAGAAAGTCAAGTCCAGTAAGGTGAGGCATAGAAGACTCGATGTTGTTCATAACATATCGTGAACTTGAAGTCCAGAGTAGCAAGATTTTCTTTAAGAGTTTGAAATTTAACTCACTTATATTTGTAATTTATGTACCGAAGTTGTAAACTAGTATTCCAATCATAATCGCATGTACATTGTACAACGTTTAATTGAGTTCACAAAATTTCCTCTTGATTTAGTTTTAATGAGTCTGTTCGATAAGATTATTCTTGTCTCATTGTTGATTTCAATAATAATTTTCAACAAACTGGTGTGATGTAAACGTGCTTGTTGCGAACTGTTCACACTAGGAGCCCCGCGCTGCGCCTGCTGCAGCTGCGGGAGGAGACCTCATGGCTGATCTGTTCGCTAGACTGTCTCAGCGACGCAAGGTACCAGCGATGCTATGTCTATCCACCTCTCACTTCCACCTCATTACCTCAACATCTCTTTTAACACGTTGACTACGAAGTGGTACATATGCGTACCACGAAATGTATTTCTCCAGGACGTAATGGTACATAAATCAGGTTGCCTTAAATCGGCCAAATCCGAGAACAAAAAAGGCCAAAAAAGGCCGATAAATCAATATATACTAATCTATTTGTAGGTTCCGCTATTAAAATTCCATTTATTTTATTTCTGCAGTATTTAAAATTTAATTATGAAGTACCCCTATCATAAATTTTAGCTGGCCAACGCAATTGAGAAAAACTAAATCACGGAATTTGTCCAGAAAAAATGACCGTCTGGCAACCCGGTTTAAAAACAGTACAAAAAAAAAATAATAGTACGAGATGAAGCAATCGTAGTCAACGTGTTAACCAGTACCACATCACAACAGCTTAATGTTAATCAAGCTTCGGTAGCTTAAGCTCATCAGGCTAGTGATTATCATGCACTACAGGAGTGACCTGCCGTGACTCATGGTGCGGGACTGCAGCTATTCCCGAAATTAATTTTATCTCTCTCAAAGTCGGCAATAAAATAAGTGTAAAATTTCCTCCCAATTGTTTTTAAGTAGAAAACGAGTTTTATTTTCTGAAGCTGACGATTATTTTGTTTCAGGGAATATCGGGAAGCGCCAAAGTGGAGGGCGATGACCCGACTCCCGTGAACCCCTTAGAGGACATAGCAGCCAGCATCCCCCCACCTCCCCCCGCTTCTCACAGGGGAGACGAGTCTGGCAGGGAAGAGGCGGAAGACGAAGACTGGGAGTGAGGTTTAGTTCCGCGTACTAGGGATGATATTTGAATGATGACCAGGCAGATTCTTAATTGATTATTTCACCATCGTTTAGCTAGAAGAAAGTTCAGTTTCTGATTAATTGGAAAATCTATTTATAAATTGACCGTATGCATGTTTAATTTTTCAGTCCTCCGAGGAACTTGTGTAGAAACTTGTAAAATATCCTGATAGTTTGAGCTTCACAAATTTTTGAGAGATTTTCGATGGACTTTGGTTTCTGAATATTGCATTTGTTGCATCGTTGGCAGAATATTTGCCCTTCTCGAGGATTTTAATGATAAAAGGTGGGCTAAACCTGTCGAGCAAGTCTTTCATAAATTTAACCGATGATATAAAGAAATGTCAATATTATTATTTCCCATTTCTGAGGAGACAAAGGCAGCAAGTATGAGGAAAGTGGAGTAAAGTGTGGCCTTCAAAATGTATAAATTATTTTTGGAATTAATTTACTTTTTATAATGTCCGAATGGACATGCTTTAAAAAACCTACTCGTAGGCTTTTTGTAATTAGCTTGACCTATACACTTTTGTCCATCATATTACTTGACCTACACACAGGTATTACTCATATTACTTGACCTACACACAGGTATTACTCATATTACTTGACTTACACACAGGTTGTCCATCATATTACTTGAGTAGAGCTAAGAACATTTAGTTTTAGATAGATAGGCCGCTCGTGATTTTATTACCAAAGATTAGGTCATATAAGCAACGATATTACTGATATGGTTTCTCGGTGTACTGTTAATATTGTTGTCTGCCTTCCTCTTGCTTACAACCTTTCCTCATTGTTCGTTGTCATTTTCTTTGCTTTAAATGTTTTCTATTCAGAATTCATTATAGTGCAATTTTCTAGTATCTGAAGAGGTTCCTTGTAACAGACATAGAGAGTGATAATTTTTTTCTCTTTTATTTCGTGTATTGAGAGACATCTGGCGTATCCACAGAAGAAGATCTTAAAATTTTCTAAGATTTATTTTATTTACCTGCAGTAAATAATGGTTTCCCCAAGCTGCTACGAAAGTCTGTGGATTACTTTGTGGATTTGCGATAATTGATCTTAGAAACCAGATTTGCTTTCTAAAATCAACGTTACCAGAGAGGAAGGCTAAAGCTGAACAGTGAACATCGAGGGCTATAACAGGAGTCATGTATACCGTTTTTTCGTTTTTTTAATTCAAACCTTGTTTAATTGCCATAACAGAGCCACATCGGTTATTAGATCTTTCTGCTCCTTGTTTCTCACTCGGTAAATGGTCGAAAAAAATTAAATTGTGCATTGCAGTGCCCAATGCCTTGAATAAATTATAATGTAGATGTTCATTAAAACTTTGTGTGTCAAGGGAAGTGTTGAGACGACGCTGTTAAAACAGCACACCGCTATCATATCTATTAATGAGTTGTTAAAAATGTTCTTTTTAATACTTGATAACCATATATTGTCTCGTACTGTGTGAACTATATCAGACTCTTTAATCTCTTTTGTTGTTATTGTAGCAAATTTATTTATCTTTATGCTGTATACTGTATTGCATGATGGTTTTGAAACTACCTCTATAGGTCTTGTGGGCACCTGTAGGAATGCATTCGAGCATTTTTTTTTTTTTTTTGCTTCCTTTTCTACCCAAATATGATGGGTTTTTCTCATCCTGGTCCCATCAGGAGAAATGAAATTGATTTAATGAAGGTGGAGGGCGAAGTTACGCGTTCACGTACATAGTTACGCGTTCTACATGTCTCGCCCCGGTGCCAATTGTTGAATACCGCTAATTTTCATTCCTGTAACTTGTTTATTCTGAGCTTTTTGTTGAAATATATTCATATATTTGATTCAATTCGTGTTTTCTTCCTATGACTACTATGAGTCTTCTGTCTTGGTAATAATTTCGTGAAGGCGTTGCTTGTATAAAAAGATCGTGTCATGAGCCCCTCATACTTATATCCTCACGGTAGCATGACTTCAAATAACAATTTATTAAATCGTGCCAGCGAATCCTTAAGGCATGCATACGTCGATACACTTGTTGGCCTGCCGAGTGTCGAACGCAGACACGAGGCTTCCACGCGCCGGCTGCAGGGAGCTGTGCCGTCAGATGCTCATTTGGCTCTCTTCTTGAAACACTTGTACGCCGTTGCGAATTAAGAGAAGACAGGATAATTTATATGAACACTTTCCAGTTAGAAGGTGGCAAGGTTTTTGAGTTGTTTTTGTTATTGATAAAAACATACCAAAACCTTACAGGCTTACACATTAGTGAGTAAATGTCATTGATTGCCTTGACGAATTATTGTGATATTTGTAGATAATATAACTAAACTCTCGATTATTATGAAATGTTAATGGAGTTCAAATAAATAATATAATCAAACTTTATTTAAACAACAAGTTTGTGAAAGTTTTATTATATTTCTTTCATTTACATAGTGTTTGTGTCTATGGCAGCTTTTTTGTGAAGATTCTGCAATTTTGATGGAGGATTTTTTGTGGGCTTCTTTGTTACCGCGAGCATTCGACGAGAAACTTCTTAGTAAATTTTAATCTTCAATTCCGTTGCGTGGCTGACATTTGGATCCATGAATAACTGGGCCCACATCAAGTCAATAAGGCCTCATTTACAAGTGCTGATCAAAGAAGTGTCGAGCGAGCCCCAGCTCCTTCATCTTGTCGAGAGTTGTGTGCAGGTTCTTGAACTTACGCAGAACCTCGACTTCCTGCTCCATCTTCTCTTCCAGGAAGTGGGCCATCTGCAAGCAGAAATTGATGGATAATCAAGCGAATATCCTTTATGAATGAAAAATAATTTGATATTTTAAATTCTTGATCGTAATCGTGTCATATTTCCGAGTAATTTGTTATTGGAGAAGATATTGCGATTCGAGAATAAAATGCAAAAGCAGAATCTATAAATCATTCAAGAATGAGATCTGTGGCCCCTACATCAGCGTCGTAGGGACCGTTGCCATGCCGCTGGGTGCTGCCTTTGTGCAGGAGGTTGAGGGCGACGACCATGTCCTTAGAGTCCTGCGTTACCTCCTCCAGGGTCTTGAGGTATGTCGCCGGGAAGTCCGGGGTGTCCTTATGGTCAGACTTCAGCAAGTTCTGGCCAGCACAGGAATTCAACGCTTTTTTGTATTCATAATGAATCTTAATAAATCAACATAGTTTTCCCAACAGTTACCAAATGAATTAGAAAAAAACTCTATAACATGCAAAGATGTCAGCTGTTTGTTAGAGAACTATGATATTTACACTTGCTGTGGTACACTTGCAAATTTATGACTAAGCTTTTCTGTTAGGTTTAGATTTCAACGACTTGTACGCAAGCAAATAATTTTTTTAGTTATATTAAGACGTGGCATGGGATAGACTTGAAGTTTGCGCTGTCACGAGACTTCTGTATACGTGTTGCGCACGAACAGCTTTTGATTTAGCCTAAAGGTTGTTTCACGTCCCTTCTAGTGTTGGTCAGATTTCGACGTTGATATGACGTTTAATTTTGGTTGTTCAACATTTCAACCTGAAATCAACCAAATATCAACGTTGTTTCAACGTCAGATGCCTGCTGGGATAAGCAGTGGTCCAAAAACCAAGAACTTGAAGTTTTTAAAGTTTTGGCCAAATAACCAGAATAGCAACTGACGACAGGCCATGGAAGCATTTTATTCGGTTCAGACAACATTATCTGCTTCAAACAATGACATCCGAGAATAGTGATCTTTGATCTTTAAATATATTTTCGATGAATAATAGCTACATAGGTGTCAACATTGACGGCAAAGCAAGAAAAATGTGAATGTTTCAAAGACATCTTAGCCTGCAGAATTTTTACTCTCTCCGTAAATAAACGAATTACTCCCAGTTGCATCCCAATAAAAAAGCACATCAATTTAATTTCCCATCGTTTGAATAAATCTAGATGATTTACTTTCATCGCGCACTGAAAATTATTTTTAAAAATCATCTTTCAATAGTCAAATGAATTCATTACCTGCTTATAATGAAATCATGGATTACTAATAATACGAAACTATGTGAAATCTTTCTCGATCTTGGAAATCTTGAAACCTATTTTTACCTCTCCCGTAAATTCGAAGGCACGCTTGAATATTTCCTCTCGTCGGAGCTGCGCCGGCTCGTCGCTAATGAAACCGTACGCAGAAATGCTGTTGCTCGCCGTGTTCAGGTCCGGGGTGTCGCCGCCTCTCTGCAGGTATTTCTTCAGGGCGTTGATGCCGAGCTGCCAGTGGCGGTCACTCGCCTCTCGCAGGATCTTGCCCATCCCAGGGCGCTCGAACGATTGGTCGGCAAACGCGTTGCTCTGCGTAATTAACATATAATATGTTTTTGTCTAACAAACCGGAAATTCATGTAGTGAGAAGGACTGTTTCTTAAATTGTCGGCTACATTAACTCGGTTTGCAAATCCGTTGTCCGCACGTTCAGAAAGCCTAACAATTGAATTTTGATAAACCGTCGTTCTGATATTTGCTTCGTCTCTGAAAGCATCAAACGAAACAATTATCCAGCGACGAACAATTGATGTGGAAATTCAAAATCAGAAATGGCAGCATACAAATTTGAGAACTGTACCATGGTACCCTCACTGAGAGCGAGCACAGTCAATCAATTTCGATTTCAGATGAGTTTGAAAACAAAAACACCATCAATACCAATTTTAGATACATCGACCAAACGCTATTTGAAGGCTTAAAATTTTAGATGGGGCACTAAAAGCTCAATATGTATACTATGCCTAACGACTTTCCTCGTACGAGATAACAACAATAACAGTGGAAAATTGTACCAGTTCATAGCAATTTATTTGACCCGAGTAGGTACTTTTAAATGAGGTTTCCATGCATAAGCTGTAAGCTGAATGTTTCATTTGTACACAAACTACTCACAGTGAAGAGGTAGTCGAGGGAGTTGTCGAAGTGAGCCTTCATGTGTTTAAGATAATCCTCGTAGTGCTCGTCGAAGAACGACGACACCTTCGTGTTCAGCACCTGCACGGACGCCTGACCTCCACCTGCTCATGAGCCAACCACTATTTTTGCGTTGTTTTTGGACACAATTCTTACTGCCATTTCAAAATAAAATATACGCAAGTAGGAGCAAACATGAAAAGGAAGTTTAAATTTGCATCACAAGTTTGCACTCCATCTGCTGAGTTATGCCCAACTAAACTTCCAATAACAAACGCAGTTTTAACCCTATATACACTTCCATCCACCCGGGCTCAGGTTTATTTTAACCTCGCTTCTGAAGCGAGCAGTAATATTCTCATTGGGACTGCCTGAAGTAATGAATCAAATTGTAACAATAATACCTAGTTTGACTTTGTTAAACCCTTTTATTGCAATAATATAAAGTGAACAAGAAGTAGAGCACTTACCGAATGCTAGAAGTGAGAGGAGTAGAACGCCCTTTATGATTCCCGTCATCATCATCTTAAAATCTGAAAATAATGGAGATTTTTTACTATTAATGTCTAATTTTTCAGACACCTAGTCAACATAACCTGTCTCACAGTAAAATTATTCAATTTAGGCATGAAATGTTAATTATAAATTTTATGTTTAAACTAGACATCACGGAATACGGTGAAGTCATGTGATTAAAATCATCCAGTATAACAATGCCACATCATATAGGATGTTTAGAGCAGACTAATAGCCCGTATCATGCTACACCCACGTCTCTGAAATACGATAGTGAACTGGTGCACTGAGATCCCTAGTCCCTACCAGTGGCGGAATGGCTGGCTGGCTGAGGGGCAGTGCAGCCATCCCGGCGGTCTGACCAATGAACGCTTCCTCAGCTGAGAGGGGATGTGTCGGGCTATTACTACTTTAATGTGCTACTTATTTTACAACCGATAATCAGGAAATAAAAAGTCGTAAAAATAAGAGAGTTTTTTTGCACATTTATGGACTCTTATTGAGATAATTCAAACTTTGTACCTCATCGTTTACACTACAATAAAGCGTTATTTTACTATTTCGATGGAATAATAACTATAGGTGACTCAACTCTCATATTGTTACGGTAGTTTTATAGAGCATTAACAACCAGCAGAACATTAGACAAACTGAAAAAATTCTTTACGTGCCTTTCAAATTAAAAATATCGTTTTTAAGGCGGAATTTCGTTGTTGTGATTTGATCCGTTTCTCACACTTTCATGAAATAGTCTGATTCAAAGCTCGAAATCAATTATAAAATATGGTACGATCATAATAATAGAGAAGAAATAACTGCATTGGTTTGAGTTTAGTAATGCTGTCAATAGCTGCGCAGCAGGGCTGTACGTGACGGCGCCATCATTTTGCGGTGTTGAAAAGAACGCACACGTCGTTGAATTATTGCAATCTTCGTTATCTTCTGGAGAGCTTGGTTGTCTAGGATCAGTGACCTGGACGGAGACAGTCCTCTAGTAAAACCTTGTTCGCTTGTAATGATAACAGCGTCAAGAGGAGCATTCGTTTCTTCTTTATCTCGCGCTGAGATTTTCGTGATAGTCAAACAGCTCCTGGCAACGACAACCTTCTCGACTTTAATTGGAATGTCATCTACTTGTACAACTTATGTATTATATCTTTCGGTATAATATATTAGTTATATATTATGGAGTGTGGGTGTGATTGTGCGTTTGACGCCTATTTATAAATATTTAAGCGATGTATCTGAAACTTTATTTGATGTAGCGTATTCATGATGCATGGCAAAACGTGAGGTGATTTCAAAAATTGGAATCTGACTTTATTTCGAATTTATAACAATTATAGTTCAATTAGCAATGAAAATAAAATGTTGTCATTATTCTAGAACGGAATTATTTGGAAAGAGAAATGTGTGCCAATGAAGGAGATTTCTTGAATTCATTCAAGCCGGCCTGTGTTGCTTGAAACTCGTATTGACTCCTATAGGATTTTATTTCTGGCTCTGCGAAAACATGTGTGTTCGAAAACATGTTTTACGTTCACAGAACTGATGACTGATAATGAAGACGCATTTATTTTTTTTGTTGGCATAACATTTTGAACTTTGCTGAAAATGTGAAGTAGTTAAAGTTAAGTATATAAAATAGTGAGTGGGTACAATTTTATGTATATATCATTAGACACACACATCTACTGTACATACATGCATGAAACTAACAAATGAATGAAACCATGTTTTTTTCACTTCCATTGATTAAATCCCGTTATCGGCATCATTTGCTGATGAAAAATTCTCCTCATTTAAGTTTTTCTGTAATTGCACTAATGAAGCAACATGATGGTAATGGGCCACAAGTTGATATGTAAGCATCTCACTTGAGGCCAGTATTTAGGATATCATGTTTGTATTGCATCAGCAATTGTAGGTAACCCTAGAGCAGAAAATAATGTAATAAGTTCTATTTTGTGAGGTACTTCAGCCGTCTTGTATCGACCTTCACGGCCTGATCGGTCGATATGTATCTCAAGAGGCAATATCTCGGCAACACTTGACTTTGATGCAACTTGTTTTCTACAGCACAATGACTCATATCGATCTTTCCTCCATCTTAATTAATGAGGCTTTTGATTAGAATTGTTTTACAGTCTATCATCTATGATTCATGCTTTGAACCTTCAGCTTAATTTTGGTTTTTAGAGCGCCGTAAATATTACAGTCTCGCGTTTGATATAAATGCTGAACGAGAAATCTTTGGCAGGCAGGCTGCCAGTATATATGGTTACCAAAAGATCATGCAATGATTTTAAATAGAGTGGTTGTACCAGGCCACTTATTTAAATGTGACTAACTATGATAATTAATAGAATAATGAGACTATGGTTGTAATTTTGGTGTTTGCTTCAGCTTTTCATCGTCTTAATTGGAGCAGAATCTCCTACATAAAATAATTTCGCTATGTGCAGTTTATGTATATTAGTAGTACATTAATTAGGAGTTCTGAAATTGATGCAACAAAGTAGTTGCATCAATTGAATGAATAAAATATATGGAAGTGACGTTAATTCAAATCTCTTGTCTCGCCGTTGTGATTAGAAATGAGGCTGCACAATATCCATTCAATCATGATCCATCTTTGCTTCACAATTGTTTGGATTTTGAGAGCCATCTTTCTGCTGAAGATCAAAAAGAGATTGCGTTTTCATTAAAGTTTTATTGTATGCTGCGTGTCAGCTCATGACATGCACGATTTAAGGTTGAAAGCAATTAGACATTACTAGTAATGTTTGGAGTGATAATTGTTAATGTAGTCGTTCATGCGTGCATAATTTCGCTTCTAAGTATCAGAAAATCATTTAATAATTACATTTCAGGAATCAGGAGTTTCAATAGGATATTAGTGTCAATTCAATAGTGTCAGTATCCTCATTTTGAGGAGTGCTTTAATAAAGATGTGCTTGATACAGTTGAACTTGATCACTTTGGTTCGCGGAACAGATCGATGCGATCATATTGCTAAAACATGCAGTATGACGAAGGCTTGCTTTTGTTTCTGTTGAAATATTTCCCTAGCATAACCCTCTTGTTCTTTGACAGAGCTTAGGCTGCGAGATGCTTCTGACACTATAAGTCTTGAAACCAATTATAAAAAATCACTCTGTTACAAAATATAATAAAAGTAATTCCCAGTGAGACATCTGCTGGCTGCTTGTACAGTGGTTTGCTGTGGTGTACCCAGTCGCAGCCCTAAGCAGAAGTAAGAGCAAAGCTGTGCGCAGATAAACGCACATGGTCCTTGTTATCCATAAACGCACATGGTCCTTGTTATCCATTGTGGCTGAGCGCTCATCCTCCTCAGCCAGTCGAACCCTCAGCCAGCCTGGCGGCGGGGGGAGGGACGCTGGCCACAGAGATCGGCCAGCACAACTCAGTTGCTAATCAAGACTGGAGGTTGGTTAGTGTCACGCTTGGGATTTAACTGTATCTTGAATCTTGCAAACACAGCGCACCTATTCGTTTCATTCGTCATACGGAAGTGAGAAGGCTTCTTTGAAGTTATGGTGAGTAAATATTTGATCGGAGTGAAACTACATACAACCGTACTTGTGTGCGAAATGCTGCCCCTTCCTGAATTCAAGAATTTAGCATGTTCCTATCATGTTGCAGTTGCGTATTAATTGACTATGCTCAGAAATTATTATATTTGAAGAAATTAGGCATCAAAATAGATTTGAGAGTAATTTACCGCACTGTAACGGATTCTTGCAGAGGTTTTTCGTTATTTCATTGAAGATTTTCATAGCATGAGCCGATTTGCTACGATTTTACCGCAACATTCCGACTAAAAAAACGTGTCGAAAAATAAATTTAGGACGGGATCAATTTTTAAAAATTTACACTATACACCAACAATGATCGCAGGAACTTTTGACCTTTCATTATTTAAACGCCTTGGGTCAGCATTCGGTATTTATTTTACTTATAAATAAGAGTAAAATTAAATCTTACCTCTTTCTTTTTCTTTGCAGTTCCCCTCCCTGTTCATGGCGGCGCTGGTCGCCACGAGTGTCACTGCCGTGTCTGATCCAAGTAAGGACCCACAACGTGGATCTGTAATTTTTATTGGGCTTTGAAAGAATATAACAATTGGGTCCGTTGATTTACAAAAGTAAAAAAAAAATTGTGAAAAACATAAAATTAGGTGAATCAAAACGTCATTTGAAATAATAAAAATTTGGTTTATCGCATATTATGTTGGTGAATTTCATTTTATGTTATTATGCGGGGAAGAGAAATTCGCGAACTTTAATTTTTGCATCAAGTAGCCTCCAGTAGCTGTGCCTGGCAGAAAATTACGTCATTAACCCGTTTGACATAAAACACTTGTAAGTTATGAGAACAATACCTTCGCAGAACCTTTATTTTATACCAGTTTCTTTTGAACTTTGTGTCGTATAAATGACACTCTAGATGCACGTGTTGCATATATTATACCTGTAGACTGAATGAATTTACTGAATGTAATTTAAACGAAATACAGCAAAATGCGACAATTAATTTATATGAGTGCCATGGTAATTTAAAAAGGCAATAAAGCCGTGTTGTTCAACTGACGGGGTGATAGTAAATTTTTTGGCATCTAATTACTCCAATGTTGTATCTTAATATTTAAATATGTAATGAATATTACTATGTAAACTAGTGCATGAATGCAATCAACACCAGAGCGTTCTGCATGACTTATTGAATTGGCGTATCGTTAATGAACATCTTTAAGACGACATCGGAAATGCAATTGTGTGTATATTTAGAACTGGCCGATTAATGTCTCTCTATACATAGTAAAACTAGCAACAGGTATAGTAGATGCAGGATCTGAAGAAACTGACGTACGAATACGATTGGGAGCAAAATATAACAATGAATCTCAAAATTTTAAAATAAGAAAGTAATTAGAATCGAAACAAAATATTCCAATCACCTGTGATTCATCACACATTGTTTTTTTAATAAAGCTATGAAAAAAATTGCCTAAGCGTTAGCATTTAAATTTAATTTTTTAATTATTCTGATTCGTTGTCATCGTTTTCTCCAGGTTCGTTCAACTGCGACCCCCCGAGATGTGAGTATTTCTTCTTCTGTTTTGAGTAATATAAATAAACTCGTGATGGACTAAAGACTCGGAAAAATGAACGAGTTATATTGTCCGATTTATGACATACTTTTTGCAAGTAGCACTGATACGCTCTATTTACCTTGGCCTAACTGGGTCGACATGCCAACACGAGGGCAAACACGGTCGCTTTTTCGACAAAATCTCATTTCTCCGAGTGACATGATTAGTGATTTCTGTCCAGGCTCAAGGCATTCGGTATAAGTTCTAAGTAAGCTTTGACGTTTAAAACCTATCATTTGATTTCATTCATTTGATCATGTCAACGTTACATTTTGAATTAAAAATCTCATCTATTAAGTTCTGCTGTTCCTATATTGTCCAAACTAACACTGTTTCTATTAAGTATTCATTAATTAAAACCAGTATTCTGAGCTGATAACATGTATAAGTTATGAGCGTATAAGTAATGGCACATTTCGATGGCACAGCGGCGCCCAGCTCAGTGTGCTACGTACCGGATTGTACACGCAGGATCGCTCACCACATCCAGGAGGAGTTGAACGCTGCCTTCTCCTACCTCTACATGGTGAGATGTGCTGCAGTTTGTCCTACTTCTAGAATCTGAGGTTCGAAAGCGCAATATATGAGCTGATTATTCAGTTCAAACATAGCTTGATTATTTGAAACATTTTAAGTTTATGCTTATTCACCCGTGATCGACATACCTCGTGTTTCCGTTACAAGCGGCATAACTCTTTCAGCAACAAACTTCGAGAAGTATATTTATTCTTTTGTGGTCAAAATAGAAGTACTTTCCCAGCTACAACCTTCAGATGATATTTTATTCAACGGAACTGGCTTCTATATTATGTTATTGTTTAACCGGCAATTTTAGCCTGAACAAGACGTATGTTTTTCTCCCTGATCGAAATGATTTGGCTAGTTCCATTTTTAGCAAAACTAAAGATATTTTTTGACCGAACACTATATTGGAGGTGATATTTTCTAAATAACTGTTCTAGTAATAATAGAAAATAATATCGTGCTTATACGCTTATACAAGTGAAAAGTTTCCAGTATTAAACTGTGGACACGTTTATTTTATATATTCCATTACAAAATAAGGCCGCGCATTTCGACGACGACCGCATCGCCCGCCATGGCCTGGCCAAGTTCCTGTACGAGTCCGCCAGCGAGGAGCGCCAGCACGCGATCCTCATGCTCGAGTACCTGAACAAGAGAGGCGTGCTCTTCAACGAGACGTACAACCTCAAAACCTCCGATAATGAGGTATGTCACTAGATGAGTACCTGAACAAGAGACGCGNAGGGTGTCGGGTTGCATGCGGGGCCGCGCGCGCTCGATAACCTGGAGTCCTTCAGCGCGAAGACACGCGATTCAACGAGTCAGCGTCGTGCCAGGTCTCGGTAGGAAGACATCTAGTGAGCGCGAGCCACAGATGCGAAGAAACTCATCAACCTTATTATTCCACTCGACATCGTTTAAAGCACGAGGGCTAATCAAGCCCTAGATTATAAATTAGGTACATTTATTTTTTGATTATTTGTTAAGTTTCCTCAGATGATTTTTCGTTTCAATATGTTTATAAATTAGGTACATTCATTGCTTGATTATTTGTAAAGTTAAGTTTTCTGAGATGATGTTTCGTTTCATTAGTTTTTTAACCGTACGAAAGGCAACAAAAAGTGTACATTTTAATCATGAATAGTACACGTCTCATCTGTAGACAGGTGATAAACTATATTTACGACGCCTATCAACATTTACACGGTTTGGTCACATGATGCAACAGAAATAACGATGCCCTTAATGACAGGCATCGTTCATTCATAATGGCATTATATAGTCATTTCTGTCCTAACATCAGATAATAAGCATCGTTCGTTTATGATACCATTAACACTAGCATTATTTTGCTCCAACATTTCATAACAACTATCGTTTTTTTAATCCATCAATAATGATCATTTTTTTCTCCCAGCATCATGTAACGAATATCGTTCGTTGACAATACCTATCAAGACTATTAAATTTTTGTCCCAACATCAGGTTACGAACAGCATTTATAAGATCGTGGAGGCCTGTGGCCTGGACTTCCACGCTGCAGACGTGTTCACGGATCCCATTTTGGACGAGCAGCACGAAGGCATCCGCAAATTGCAGGGCGCGATACGCACCTTCAAGGATATGACGGACGGACACACACACACCTCCGCCGGGGCGATGGCTGAGTTTATGTTCGACCAGAAAATTCTCGCCAATGGTCTTTGAGTTTGGTCATTTCATTTGGTTGAGAGGTCATTTCTAAACCTGAGACAGGTTTTTTCGAAAATAATTTGTATCCATGGCAACTTCGGTTGTTTGGCTTATTTCAAAAGTAGAATATGATCATCACATCACAAACCATTCTCGAATTTATTTCGTTCTTTAAATTTTCAGGTGATTTTCTGCAATTTAATCAGTTTCATTTTTAATTATGATTACTAGCTTCATTTTATATTTTGGACTGAATAAAATATTCGACAACTATTGTATTTATTTCATAACTTTTCCTTCTAGTAGTCATCACGTATTGCAATAGTTTCGCTCGGAAATCTGTGCACGAATAAATGGGCTCCGGAACTGGTCGAATAGTGTGAGGACTAATTTCGTTTAGATATGATACTATCTACTAATAATTCTATCACCTCTAGCATGGCCTGGGACTGCTAAGTTCGAACGAGTGTATATCCGAGTGTATAAGTACTATTATTAGGGAATATTTCCATTAAGCAAACTACCCAGCTATCACCGATGTGTCATAATACGCATAAAATAGAGTGCCTCCCTGCACTGGAAGGCAGCTGTCATGAATAATGGCTATTATTTCATAGTGTTGTTGTTCGTGTGAAAATACATATGAATTGAGAATTAGTGATTGTATAACCATCTACCGGGCGTAATTGGACGCTAAAGTGAGATTCTACAATAAACTACGAGATTTCTATAAATTGGAATCTCATTGAGTGTTATCAGGCTACGCTATTCGTCATGAAATGATATCGCATCACTTTTTTCATTGTCTCTTCGAACAAAGATGAGCATGAGCTTATAATCTTCAACGAGAAAAGCTCTCTCTTGATTGTCACAACTTGACTAGGATGGAATGTTTTATACTCCGAGTTGTGAACCGCACTTTATCTCTGTGCAGGATGACGTTCGTTTATGTGGCATCCTCCCAGCGGGGGCCAGTGAGGGGAGCGTAATTCATGGGATGGGAAGAGGGGTATGGGACATGTAACTAAAGGTTTGCTGATATCGTTTGGTGGTTGCAACAGCAGCTATGGCCTTAAAACATCTTGTCGCGTAAACAAAGGTCGCATTTGTGTTTGGCAAACATTACGCCGTTCTAAGAAAATTTCTGCGTTTCTGATTACAAGTGCGGCGTTAAACAACTTCAGTTTACTAAAACACAGATGTACATTGTACAGGCAATCGTCGGTTTTGTTGCTGCATAAAGATGCTGCCCAGCATCAGTTGCACACGGACTGCGACGAGTGGTGGTGTAAGCGCAGTAGCTATCATGTAGCATCGCTAGTCCGAACGAAATCTCTAGTAATTTTCTGCCTCAAGAATGTTAGTTTAGTTATTCTCTCGCATACTTCCTGGGAGGTATCTATCCAAATTATGTGTAGCCTTGTTAAGTTTCTATTCCGCAACGTATATTTTTTAAATTAAAACTATTAATGCACGCAGCCGCCAGCGATTGTGAGCCCTTGAGAAGATTTGAGAAAGAACACAACTTGTATAGTCTAATGATTGAATCTGTTCTAATATCCTAATGATTGAATCTGTTCTGCTTTGGGAGTCTGGTCTCTCAGCTTTGCAATATAGAATCATTAAATCCTGCATTATTTGTTGTACTATGAACAACCCATCAACATTTAAAAATATATATGCCATGACGAACTAAAAAATTTTGCGTAATTAGTTTATTATTTCAGAAACATTTGCTTGTTGATGAAACTTGCTAACCAAAGACAACTCAAACAAGTAATGCTAAGAGTATCCGCAGAAAATGTCATCCAGAGAAAGCACCTCACCGAAAAGTTGCAATTCTCTCAAGCCGAAGTTTCCATATGATCTCCCAGCTCCTTGCGTAGATGACGTGTTATCATTAAGAAAAAGATACAGTGGTTATCTCAGTGGTGCCGTTGCTATTGGACCTCAGAAATACTACATGCAAGGAATCTATAATGACTACGCAGAAGCGCTTTACGAATTCCAGTTCCGCCCTTCTGATGTCGTGGTAGCGAGTTACCCAAAAACAGGTAAACGTGTTGTTGGAGGTTATAAAAGAGGTATTGGGATTAGTTGAACAAATCTTTTGCAGCTATTTCTCTATGAATTTGTATAATAATGTAGGTTTTGATGAAGACTAGGTAGTTATTCCTATGATAAATTTTTTAATTTCTTCTCAATTTGGCGAATTGGACTTCTTGAACAATTTAAAAGTTCGAATACATGGTTTCTAACAGACATTTTAATACGGTATTGCGACGTTTAGAATGTACAATATTCATCATTTAGTAATTTGTATTTTCTTGCGACGCCTAAAATTTATACATATTTTGAAATTACATTAGTACAAACATTAGGTATTGCTATAGTTGGGCAGAAGCAGTTTCTGTAATGCAAGTTTCGCTGAAGACCATATAGTGGTGTAGTAGTAAAACCGTCTTCTTAATTGATAATGTATGTACAATGTTCATTCGTAACGTCGTCCAATTCTAACAAAATGCAACTTGTAAACGTCATATTCAAATTTTTAAATCCTATCAAAAGCCTAATTTGCAGAATTTAAAAATTAGGATTACTGTTAATAACGAAGACTCTCTGGTCTTCAACGGCCGTACAATAGGCATCATGGATACAAGTAAAAACTTGAGATTATTCTGAAATAATTACAATATCTTGACAAATTCAATTGTTTATACAATTATTGATAACGAGACTCATCCTTGATGATGAGGACTTCAATTATTGTCAGTCTTGCAGCGTCGGTGCACTGATGTTGGTGCAAGCTTGGAGCACGTCGTATTACGATGCTGGTGCGAGCTTGGGACACCGTATTACGATGCTGGTGCAAGCTTGGGGCACCGTATTACGATGCTGGTGCAAGCTTGGGGCACCGTATTACGATGCTGGTGCAAGCTTGTAGTACCGTATTACGATGCTGGTACAAGCTTGGGACACCGTATTACGATGCTGGAGCAAGCTTGGTGCACCGTATTACGATGCTGATGCAAGCTTGGGGCACCGTATTACGATGCCGATGCAAGCTTGGAGCACCGTATTATGATGCTGGTGCAAGCTTGGTGCATCGTATTACGATGCTGGCCCAAGCTTGATGCACCGTATTACAATGCTGGTGCAAGTTTTGAGCACCGTATTACGATGCTGATGCAAGCTGGGGCACCGTATTACGAAGCTGGCCCATGCATGGTGCACCCTATAAGAATGCTGGCCCAAGCTTGGTGCACCGTATTACGATGCTGTTGCAAGCTTTGGGCACCGTATTACGATGCTGGTGTAAGGTTTGGGGACCGTATTACGATGCTGGTGTAAGGTTGGAGGGCCGTATTACGATGCTGGTGTAAGCTTGGAGCGCCGTATTACGATGCTGGTGCAAGCTTGGAGCACCGTATTACGATGCTGATGCAAGCTTAGAGCACCCTATTACGATGCTGGTGCAAGCTTGGAGTACCGTATTACGATGCTGGTGCAAGCTTGGAGTACCGTATTACGATGTAGTGTAAGTTTGGGGCACCGTATTACGATGCTTGGAGCACCGTATTACGATGCTGGCCCATGCTTGGTGCACTGTATTACGATGCTAGTCCAGGCTTGGTGCACCGTATTACGATGCTGGCCCAAGCTTGGTGTACCGTATTACGATGCTGCTGCGAGCTTTGGGCTCCGTATTACGATGCTGGTGTAAAGTTGGAGGACCGTATTACGATGCTGGTGCAAGCTTTTAGCACCGTATCACGACGCTGATGCAGGCTTGGAGCACCGTTTTACGATGCTGGTGCAAGCTAGGGGTATTGTATTACGATGCTGATGTAAGCTTGGTGCACCGTATTACGATGATAGTGTAAGCTTGGTGCACAGTATTTTGACGATAGTGTAAGCTTGGTGCATCGTATTACGATGATAGTGTAAGTTTGGTGCACCGTATTACGATGCTGGTGCAAGCTTGGGCACCGTATTACGATGCAGGTGCAGGCTTATGAGCACGTAGTGTCGAACGATTTACGGTCTCATTGTGAGCCTTCCTCGTGTGGTACCTTTGTACTGCGAACAGGAGGTGGCAATTGAAACCACTGCCTTACGTTGTCGTCCGACAATTTAGTTGAAATTTCGGTGAAGTCTACAACCTCCTTTGTTTCAATAAAATTCATAACCGACTAGGGTTTGCTGTAGGAGTCTAATTTTGAGCAGGGATTATTATTCTTGTTTAGGTTTTGGATTAACTAGCTTTGTTGTAGATAATAAATTTAAATTTGTCGTTTGCGATTCTGATTCTTATGTTATTTGAACGATTGACCTCAGGATGCAGGTTCATCTGCCTCGTGACCGCTGCTTATCTTATTTTCGTAGTTTATGGTCGTAATGATTCCGTTTGGTGCTGGTTCGCTGTTGGGCTTTGTTTTGCCCCAATATCTTGAGTAATAAAAATTACTCTCTAGTCTTCAAAAAACTTAATAACATTAATTAATATTTGTAGATGCAATATATATATTGTTTGTGATTTTTACACTTCCCTGTACTTTCATTGTAATTTGGTCAACAAAAGTGTTGTCTTTGGCAGGGACGACGTGGACAGAAGAACTCGTATGGCTTCTTCTTAACAACTTCGACTATAGTCAAGCAAAAACGCCTTTGGATATGAGATTTCCTTTTTTGGAGTAAGTATCGGCTTTTAAAATTTAAATATTCCTCAGCAAAACACTCTGTGCACACACAAAGTCAACAACACTTTCGTTGCCGACAAAATGTTTCTGTGATCGCTTTGTAAATTGCTAATATGTACGTTGTGCCATATTATTACTTACTTTAAAAAAGGCACATTACCGTGAAAAATTAAATATATAAGGTTTGTTGAAATTTTTCATTTGTACTAAGCCTTACGTTTGCGCTGCTATCGTTAAGATCTCGGTAAATATTATTTTACCAATTACCACATCAATTCATTTCGTCTCCATTAGAGCTGACTGCATCATCGACCGCCGGGTGTTCGAATTTCCTGAGGTGGCGGAAAGGATGAACGGAGAGCCTCCACCAGGACCTTTTGACTCTCTTCACCGCGCACGAGATTTGCCGGACCGAAGAGCCCTCAAAACGCACTTGCCTTTCTCTCTGCTTTCTCCTGAACTGCTTCGCACCAGCAAGGTATGCGATGAGACTTCAACCCATACCGTCAATGACACATTATAAGTCGCCACTGGGTAGAAACTGCCCATACATCGCTGATCGACTCTAAAACGGTATAATACTGGTCAGAAACACGATCTGTAGAGTTCAATAATTACATGATGACAACAAAGCTGCTGTAGTATTGCTTAAAAAGATGTGGTTCAGTTTTGTTTATAAAATAGATCGAGAGGCGGCGACGGTATTGGCAAGGTTCATCGGCATGACGGTAGTTCAACTATGACTTAAGCCCTTGTACCCATGCACCGCAAAAATTAGCGAAATTGAAACGAAAATTGTCACAGTAGCCTAGAAATGACAAAACGGTGATTATATTTTAGATAATTGTCAAGAAGTTGGTTTGGTAAGCTCAGCTGATTTCAGCGAGTGCACGTTTGCAGTCGTACGCTTCCCTTCAAATGAAAATAAATTACCTACCGAATAATTATTAATAATGAATATGGTTATGGTATAGTGCTTGTATTTTGATGCGTCGTGATAATTTTTGATCATTTTACCGTATTTTCTACAGTAAAGTATTATTTTTCATCTAAACTATCGTTAAATTACATGAAAGTTGAAATGTTTTTACTTTTCACATTAATATTTCATATTGATCAAAGTTATTTCGTGTACTCACTATATTGAATGATGTTGCGGAAAATTTAGCTTGTTCTCTCTCTTTCTCACAATAAATATTTTAAGTTCTGAAACCCGCTAACCCACTAACGAAAAAAATCTTTGATGATACGTAATTGTTAAGCTGAAACGTTGCCAAAAACACAAGATAGTCGCCAATACGAAATTTCAACGACAATAAATGCGCCGAATATTGTCACATTAGATGGTCAGAGATGATTTATCTCGCGCCAGGTTGTGTACGTGATGGTCTGGCATGACTTATCTCGCGCCAGGTTGTGTACATGATGGTCTGGTACGACTTATCTCGCGCCAGGTTGTGTACATGATGGTCTGGTAAGAATTATCTCGTGCCAGGTTGTGTACGCGAAGGTCTGGTATGACTTATCTCGCGCCAGGTTGTGTACATGATGGTCTGGCATGACTTATCTCGTGCCAGGTTGTGTACATGATGGTCTGGCATGACTTATCTCGCGCCAGGTTGTGTATGTGATGGTCTGGCATGACTTATATATCGCGCCATGTTGTGTACATGATGGTCTGGTACGACTTATCTCGCGCTAGGTCGTGTACGTGACGCGTGACCCTCGGGACGTGGCTGTGTCGTTCTATCACCATCACAAAATCATTCTGTCGCACGGATTCTCTGGCACAATCGATGAGTTCATTGACGACTTCATCGAGGATAAAGGTGAGCTCAACGGATGTACAGGAGGAGCATTCATCACAAATCTAATATATCGTCAAGTTTAATTACCCTAAAACTACGAATATCTTGTAACAAGGTAGCTACAAAGCTCTGTAACCATTTAAGCTTAATCGTAAATGACATAACGAAAGATCCTAGAGAAGTAACTAATCCTTAGATTGTGAGTAATCGTTCCTTGGAAGCTATTTGCTTCTTCTATACTTTCTCTGCACAGCAAAGAATTTCCAATTGACAAAATTCATTCAAGAATAAAAGAAGATTGTGCGTGGTGAAGCCTGTGATGGCTTCAATGTAAAATTTGCTCCTGTCCATCCTTTGTTGGGGGCGCAACCGTGATCAACAAATTTTACTCTTAAAAAGACCATGGGGCCAACACCCAGCATGCACTTTGTTTACTCAGCCTCAGAGATAGAAGCCGCAGTCAATGCTGGAATACCGTAATCCGCACCAGTGATATACTGCTTACAGAAAATAGTACCATAGGTCTTCAGCCAAAACTTGAGCTTGCTCACTCATACAGGGAGAGCAGCCGTGCACCACCAATTTTGTGCATCAATCAGCCCTGAGGAGAGCTCCCAGCACGGTCACCAATCAGCCGAGTATTAATCCTGCCGTCAGTAACTAGCCCATGACATCATTGTCTTTTAAATATCTAGAGCTTTACGCCACCATATTCTGAAGCGAATAGCCCAGAGTGTGATGACCGTCCACCACTGAACTTCAAATCGAATCATCACGTCATACCCTGACTTTAGCTCGAACTGTAACCAGCGGAAAACGGACTGCAATCAATCAGCAAAGCTCGCCAGTTGAACTGCATGAATCCTGCTGTGCATCACCAGACCGCGGATCGAACATGACTTTCGACGCTTCGTTAAATTACGTAACCTTTATCTCACAGCATCTGAAGTTAGTTTTCATAGAGCATAGTTCTGTTCCAAAATCTATCGTCCATTATCAAGCCACCGTTCGACTGTGGGCTGATTCGATGTAAAAGATGAATACAGACGGTTCTCAAATTTACTGCAAGGCTCCCGCGCGCGGTGTCAGAGTGGTGCAGAATTTTTTCGCGCACTGGCAGACGATTCTGGGCCAAACTATTACAGGCTGTTCCCCTGTGGGCAGATTGGGCTACTTCAATGGTCGTGATCTGTCTAGTGGCTTGCGGCTTATAATGTGTAGTCATTAAATGTTTGAGGCTATGTTCTTGTGGTTAGGGATCTGGGTGGTCTATTCGAAGCACGGCATTGGTGGTCTCCGACAGGCATCCCGCTAATAGCAGGCAGTTCTGCATCCGGCCTCACTTACTTTGGCCTAACGGCCCTAACCTCTTGTTGCGCCAACCTATTGTCCTATTCACGCTGCCCCGACTCACAACCTACTTTGCGGCCTATAACTGGCCGCAAGACTCACCTTTTTACTTGTCCCTCCTCTCTGACCTCCAACAGCCAATGAAGTCAGATTAGGTCCGTGCAGGTTCGCTTAGCGTGGTGAAATGTCCTCAAAGTTCGGTATAGGCTGATTTATGTACATGAAAGGCTGTATTGCAGAGAAAGGTGAAGCGGCAAGTTAAGTCGGCATGCGAGAATGGTAATAGTTTCTTGCAACATATTCCACTTATAGGCTGAGCTGAAAAATGACTATAGCTGGGCAAAACAACTTGTTGAATATTTCATTTTGAAGCAAAATGGGGTCTATTAGGAATTAGCTCCCAGTTGCACATGCAAACGATTTCACACTAAATTGGTTGCCTCTTGACCCTAACTTAGCATTTTTAGAAACTTTCGAATTCAGCGGTTGTATGTGTGTTTTTTATGTCGTCCACATTACAACAATATTGAAAAAGACAATTCAGGTCAGATTTAAATTGGTCTTATAATTGAATTGTGTAGCATACGTGTGAAAATGTGAGTGTGGATATTTGCAATTTAATGGACATTCATGGTTGCAGTTTTGTACTCGCCCTTCTGGAGCCACGTGCGGGAGGCGTGGGAGAAGCGTGATGAGCCCAACCTACTTATCATTACTTATGAAGAACTAAAAAGTGATTTACCGGCGGTGATCTTACGTATTGCTAGTTTCCTCGGTGAGTTGCAAGTGCCGTGTATTCATTCTCCACTATAATGCGATTTTGGATTATTTTATGCGCTCTATAGAGCACATTCAATTAACTTGAGGATTTAGTGATGACCTTCTTACCTGTATGAAAAAGTAAAAGCTCCAAACTTAATTAAAATGGTCAAATGTTAAGACAACTGGTTCCAGTAAAGAATAGTGTGTGCGATTGAAAATTTATTACTTGCTCATTTTTTTCTATTGACTGTCGGCGTTAAAGTAGCTGCCGTCTGCGCTGCGTTGATATTTTGTGCTTGATGGCGAAGTTAATGTGTTGCAGACGTGAGCGTGAGCGACGCGCAGCTCGAGACACTGACTAAGCATCTGCATATTGATTCCATGAGATGCAATCCAGCTATCAATCCTGATCACGATCCAATTGTGAAGATTGATCCTCACGAAGGAGGCTTCGTTAGGAAAGGTAAAAGAGAGGGGCAATTTTAAAGACCCTATATAGGCGTACCACTGTTATAAAAATATTCCGGATATTTCTATAGATTCTATTAGGTTTCAGACGTACAAAACTTCTCCTTTGGAAATGGCAAATTTCATGGCACCGCGATATCAGTTCTTGTCTCGAGATCAAATGGAGCGAAGTTGTGAAATAATTTAATGTCAAATCGCCAACTGACATACGTTTGCGCTTGTCAGAAGCAGTATGGGACTTTGTGTTCCTAGGAGAAACGTTCCTGGGCACTCCACCATAGAGCTTGTAGTATCTCAGTTGTTGGGTTAATTCATTGTGTAAGCAGGATTCTTTAAATTTCTCTCCTTTGTCTCCCAGAGACAATTTTTTCGCAAAAACAACATACTTGTCACGATATGTTGTCTCTGCGACAACATATCGTGTATCATTGAGCGGCAAACGTTTCTTGTTTGTCTTCCTGCTGTTTTTATGCACCTGTCCCTCCTTATTCCTCAAATATAAATGACACCTTCCGCCTGGCTAATGATATTTATTTTCGAGTCCCGGGGTGAAACAGCTTAATAGCCGAAACGCTAGTAAACCATTCTGCTACTATATAACTGCCCCTAATTTCTGCCGTACCCGCTGATATAAGTTAAGGTCTGTTAACTACGGCGTTCAGAAGCTATCAGAATTATTATCTCTCAAGGTTTTTTCATCTGCTTTTAATCAGAATGCATTTACACGTCCGGAAAATTTTGTACAAATTATGTTTGGCAAACTTCAACTATCATCTGTAAATTATATCAATCCACAATTCAATGACATGAACAACTCTAAGTAACAAACTAATGATGACGAACCTGACTAAAAGATTTTAACACAAGTTCCTCCATGGTACTGCCTTACATTTTTTTAAACATTAATTGAATAGCGGAATAAAGACAATAATATGAATTGACAAGCACTACACGACGCTGTACAGGAGCCGTTGGCGGCTGGAGGAGCAGCTTGTCTGAAACTTCGCAAGCCAAACTTGAGGCGTGGATGCGACGCAACGCTCAGGGGCTCGACCAACACTTTGGCTGGACATGATGCCGTAGAAGGTACTGCCTCACTTCGAAGAAGTTGTGATGGGTTCGATAATTCTTGCAAACCTTGGCCAAGAACGACAGTGTGAGAAGGTCCATATTTTATCCTCGGTATCAATAAAAATCGTTTGATATATTTTTGACTGATTCTCAGCATAGTACGTTTTCAAATTTTCTCTTGGAATCTTCAGATAGGCAAGCTACAATAAGCCTATGAAAACCGTTTGGTCACATTAATGGTCACAATCGGCGATTGTGACCAGATCACAAAAGGAAAAGAATCGGCGACAGGCCACATCAGGCCTACACTTCAGCGCCGAGATCAATATGTTATGTTATGTTATGTTAATAAAACCGTTTGGTCACCTTGCATTTATGTGAAAGTAGAGGATTCCCAGCTCCATGTTCCTTAGTAATGGAACCTTCAATGAAAATTTTCTTTACAAGTTGTCTCTCACAGCATTTATATCAAACAACAGTAGTTTGCATAAGTTTTGATTATTTACTTTTCTAATTCGGCGGTAATGATAAATCACAATTACTTTTTTTAGGAACTATTTTGCAGAGTAATATAGAATATCGAACTAGTTGCATTTGCAGGAATCTTGAAATTATTTGGATAGTAAAACGATCGGGGGCTCCATTCTGTATTGGAAGAAAAGATATATTCAAAGGAAGTACAGGGAATTGGAAGCTATTCATTTAAGGTACTATTGATGCTCATGATTGTTCGTCATTGTAGAAAAATTCTATAGACTAGTTATAATTTTTAAGATAGATGGATGACCTCAATTGTGTACGAATTTAGGCCAAGATGTGAACGTAGAATACCTATGGTATGTTGGGATAGTACGAACTCGTGAGTGGTGAATATATGCTTCTGTTGAAATGTCACTTGCTTCATTATAGAGTTGTTTTTAATTCTAGATCACATAAATGTGTTGAAACTTTTTGTTTTGTCGTTAGTTTTTCTTAGTTTATTTATGCGCAATTCTGTGGCCTGGGCACTTATTCGAATTGAAAAACGCTTGTGTTAACGATTGCGCCCTGAGCAATTATATACGCTCAGGTGAACCGTGAATGTAAAAAAAAACCAATCCCGAAGAGAACAAATCAATTCTTCACATATGCTGTGTTGTATCATGAATATTATCTATAACCAGTTCAACTCGAGTATCGTGCAAAGCTTTGTCATCTACTAATGTCGGAATTCATTCATCAAGGTTGATATGAACGAACGTAGCTGGCGAGGACTATATTGAATCGGAAATATTTTCTGAGAGTCGTCGATTTGGTTAGAGATTTTGAGGCATTATTAGCCTCCGGTATGATACTTTTGTGTTCAAGGTCAGTAGTAAAAGTGGTATTCAAGCTAGTGATACCACAGTGAGGAAATATTTACGTGGTTCAATAATTTGTTAGTGATATATAATAGTTGGAAACTTCATTACGTATTGAACGCAATGTCGTGAGCAGAGCTGCATGAAGTGAAGACTGAACTAATGGTTACTTGCTAGATGCAGTTGTTGGGTTCACGCGTGGCCTTAACTACTTTGGGTATCATCGAGGACGACAAGAAGGCCTCTACTGTACATTCACAATCACTTATCTAATCTTTGGGACAGATTGTTAAGCAATTTAATATTGAAAATCAGCTATGATATCCAGTGTATCGGAGATGAGCTAAGCCATCCTTGAGTGGTTTTACTTGCGTCAAGTTTTGAATAGAGAACAATTTTGAGCGTTTTAAAGTTATTGAATTTAAGATGTCCAGTATCTTCAAAGCTCGAGCAAATTAATACCTAATATCAAATTTGATCGAACAGATAAGGTTCAGTTTTTTTTTGTAGTAACAAACGTCTGTCGGTGCGGCTATGTTAATTGTGGCTTCTTATCCCAAACGCCAGACTGCGTTATAGAAAATAATACGACGTCTGATTAGATGCTGTAACTACTACGTATCTCAATATGTTGTTACTAATTTGCTTCATCTTCCTTGAAGTTTGTAATTCCGAGTCAACATGGCAGAACAAAAGTATAAGGTACTAATTTTATTCCACGAGATGGTGTGACTCGTAAGAGTTGATTCCAATGCCTATTTATTGACCATTTCTCATCTATGAATATTAGCTACAGACAACATATCTTGAAGTCGTTTGAAAGCATCAGAGTTTGTCCAAGCTCATAATTAATTGGGATTCACATCAAAAGTAAAATAAAAGTTGACAACAATATTTTATCTGCTTCCGATCGGTGATAGAGTATCTGAATCATACATCGAGAGTTTAGGTTGAATTTGAAATCGTTACTTAATTAAGTTACGGATTATCAAGATTCCATCCAGAATTAAACTTTCTGGAATAAATGAGCATCAAGTCGGTAGCCAAGAATACGACGTGACTCTCTACGTATCCTTCCATTGCTAAAAGAATTTGATTACAATAGACAGGATATATCGCTTCCTCTTTCTCTTAGATACGAGGAAAGAAAATAATGATCTCTTAGAGGAAGAGTGGCATAGAAAGATGTAGGTAGATCTGCTGGCCTGAGACTCGAGGTCGCCATACACGACCTGCCTGCTAGCAATGATGAAAGCTCGCCGCTAACGGCCGAGCAGCTAACAGTCACCCTGGTACGTTGCGTCATAAGGCAAAAACTGCAGAGATGAACAAGACACAGTAGGAGTAGTAGTAGTAGTACGTCAATTGAAAGCTCTTCCTGATATGTTTTAAATGTGTAAGTTAGGTCTGAAACTTTTGCAGTAATAGATGGTGCAACCAAAAATTATTAGCGTTAAATTGTGTGCTCCAATGAGCAAGTCGGGCATTCCAGTTCATCGCAGACTTGCTTTTATTTTTCATTTTTTTTTGTATTCCTCTATCCACGAGCTCGAGTCAAATGAATGTTAGGCCCATTCCTGATATGATTACATTACAAACTACGCCTATCTTTTCGACCATAAAAAGTGAGCTAATATACCTATGCTATATATATATCAAGCAAACTGACTTATATTTCTAGCACAAAGTTGCCTATTTATGAAACTACAACCTACACTTTATCAGATCTTATACGCACCAAAAATTCCATTAATTGTTTTTTTTTAGAAATAAATAGAGTCCAAAGCCAAAGGAGTCTGTGCATTACGTCAAGTGCATTACTTGCTGGATTCTTGTTCGTTTAGCAGCTTTAATTTTCCCAATAATCACAATTTTGTTAGAAAACAAGAAATTCTCTATGGTCTCTGGACATAACGAAGAAATAATCTGAAACTAATCTAACGCGTTACAATTTTTTATTCAGTCGTAATGGTTGAAGAGCCACTACGTCACAACCATACGAGCATCAAGTTCCACGCCTAGAAAAAGCTTTATATTCATCCTGAGTACATCTTAAACTTAAATAATGAAACAATTACAAACAACACACTTCAAAGAAATAAACTTTCAACGGCTTATCAAAAATCATCTTCCTCCTACTCTATTTTCAAAGCATCGCAAGTGATTATTAACCTGAAAAATCTCGATTTCCGTATAAATATTTAAACTGAATTAAGCTCGTTGCGTCTTACTGCATTTGCTGCTAAGTAAACGTTATGATGATAGTCTTATATGTACGCAGCTTCATGTGCACATCATTGAAGCTATATTATCTAGTTAAGATAAACATGCGATCGATAAAACTCGCTGTTGCCAATAAACTGGTACAGCTATAAGAGTACACTCGCGAACTATGTCTGTATGTTGAATTACATACTAATTCAAAGATATTATTCGGTAGTATTCAATGCTAAAACTAAAAATTCATGATGCTGGCCTGAAACTTAGTTTTCAGAGCACCGTCTTGGAAGAATATAAGATAATACTAAAGTACGCTTTACATTATCGGCTCCGTGAAACGCTTTCGACATACGAACGTATCTCGCAAATATTCCACAGCCGACCAAAGCAAAGAGCAACGAGCAATAAGTAAAGAACCTACTGTTAATAAATAGACTAATAAAGATAATGATAAAGATTTCATTACACAAAACCAACAAAACAACATTAGGTCTAAAAGCATCTATTTTCAAAGTCGGCAGATTTTATGGTAAACTGAATTAAAAAACAATTATATCCGTTGTAAGCGCGCAGTTGAAGAATTCCATACCGTGCAGCTCATTGCTTGGTATTGAGTTATTTTAGCGTTACTACAAATGAATAATTTTAGCAAATTAAATCTTTTATAACTAATACTGCACGTTTTCCTGCGGATATCACTTCACTGACGTATCGTCACGCTATCCAATAGATTATTATAAAGATATCGGTAATAGTCAAGACATATTTGTCCATTTCATCAAAGATGAAAAATTAGTGAAACATCTCGCTCCACACAAATCGATTTGTGATCTCTTCACATTGCCATGAAACTATAGTGTCCATCGCTGACAAAACTGAACAGTGAAAGCTTCTACAGAAGTGTCATTTATTGAGTCGGAATCTGGTACGATTCTTGCCGCCTTCACGTTAAGATTAGAATTATAGCAAACATGGTTATTGTCGTATACGGCAGTAGAGGCCATTGCAAGATTATACATAGAAGTCATTGCAGCATTATCGATGAAATGCTAACGAGTTCGAATGCATTTGTATCCATGGGCTCACATATTCTTACTATCTGGACAATAATGATTGAGGTTACGAGGAGTTGGACTATTAAATTAATACGTCGAGATTTGCAAAGAACATTTAAGGGGAGTGACCGTCTAGAATTGAAATTGACAATAAATGACAACATTGTACTTGAGCAATATACGTATCTTTTTCAAGACTAATATCCCTGTTACACACCGAAATGCATTGAGCCTGTAGTCCCTAGGACACTATAACATAGACACTATCCATCGTACAATCAGGGTTTAGCGCTTTAAACAGCAAGATAAGCACAAAGATTCACAGTCTCGCACAACAGAGTGGCACGCACAGTAAATATCGAATACTGATGAGCTCCAGCTTTCCACAACAACAAATTAAGCTAAAATATCGAATATGAATGCTCACAAAACACGTAGTTTTCTCACCTTACTCGAGAGTAAACTTCTGGCGAATCCCATCTAAAACAGAATCACAAAAAACTAAATGCCTAAGACTATTGAAAAAAGTATTCCCTCCACACGCAAGATTTACTTTTTTTTGCTAAACGCAACTTCGGTTGGAGTTTTCACCTTGGCACATGCTGACTAGAGATAGGACTGGTCGATGCAGTCTCCTGGAGGCAAATGTAATGTAGGAGCAAGGCTAGTAAAAAATTGTGATAATTTCAAGCAAGTGTCGAAAAAATCTAAGCAGTTGGGTATTGTTCAAAGAACTCTTCAAGGAAGCTAAGAGTATCAAAATAATCTGAATATTAAGGAAACATTCGAAGCATCACAATAGAAATAACTTTTACGAATGTTGTCTCTAACAGACACTCATAGGAAGTCAAGTTATATAAAATTCTGCTTTTCTACAGAATAGATTATCTATCGATTATTTAGCGTAACTAGATTTTCCTTAGATAATACTAAAGCTAAAGTTAAGCTCAACTCTGTAAGCAGCAGAAGCTGTTGACGAGACTTCGTGAATCTTAGAAAAGAGGGAAGTTTTCAGTCAGCTAACGATACAGCGACATGCCAGTCAATACTCGTCCATTTCTAACTAGGTTGTTTTACGGCATCACTGCATCATTTTCCCGCCTCAACATTCTGTACCAACATGGTCTTCCTGTCAGTCGAATTGATCCAAGCTTGTCAGAAGCTATCCTTGCATTGATTGCTCAAGATAGTCATGTATATACAAGAAACAACATCGAATTATATCAGTTTACTAGCAATTTTCTAGTGACTGCAAGCCCTACCGTCAGAGAATACCTTCAGGACTCGACGAGATTACTGAACGCAACAAAACACTTATAACAACAACAAGGTACCTTTAAAGATATTACGAGACACCGATAAAAATATTTGCTAACGATGCATTACAACAGCAACAATATCTGATGCTTTATTTCAAACAACACACAATTACTGAAAGACGTAATCTTCACTTCAATACAGATAATATTCCAAGCTTTATACTTCCATGGAATCGCCTCGTAGATCGCTCTAATGTATCAGTATCGGAGCAGCAGTCATCAAAACTCGATTCCACCTAGGTTAACAACCTCTCGAAGGACAATATCTGCTATGCCAAAATGCGATCATTACTCCTTACAAGGATCAGTTTCAATCAGATGCCACGATTTTCTAAGATTATTACTCCCATAATCTGATGTAAGAAGCTTTTTGGGAAGACACTTCCCTCAACAAATCTAGCGAGTGGGCGTGGTCGCATCTTTTCGTTAAATTTTACTTTAAATTTCGGGCCATACACAGTTTTCCCACTACCTTTGAATATGTATCGCTCAATTCGTCGTCTCTCTAGTTTCATTCTTCCACGCATCGAGTTCCAAACTAAGCGCATGGTTCGACCATTTTCCATTACTGCCGCTTTTCCTTAAATGACGATTGGAGTAGTGGGATACACTGAAATTAGTCCACACAGATGGTTTGGGGATGTCGAATAATGCTTCGGGGCTTCCATCTTGACTACCCAATTGTTGAGCGACTGCTGCATATCAACTTGCTGTTGAGTAGATTGAATGCCACCAATACTACCACTTTCAACAATTGCGTAGGATGATTGAGCTTCAACGCCGTCATTATTTTCATTGTAATTAAAAATGAACTCCCGCGTGGGAGATATGTTGCATGGACCAGAAGCAACTTTGAATGGTATAACTGGAGGTGAGGCGTTAGTTGATCGATGTCTCTCCCTCTCACTATTCTGTAAATCATTCGAAGAGCCAACCGTATCGTAACTCATACAGGATGCTCCATTTCCAAATTCTGATGATTGGGGCGAGTTCAAGGAGACTACTGAATGCACACTCGAAAAAAGTTCATTACAATTATTCTGGTCAGTCCCTGGTGTACTCAATGGATTATAATATTCTCCGTTCGGCATGAGCTGGGGAAGAGTCTTTCCGAAAGAATTGCTGTGTTGCTGAGACAGTTCAGATGAATTAAACTGTTCCAAACTCGTGATCTGTTCAAAATGAGTGTGAGGAACGTGAGATAAATGGGAAGGATATTCTTGAAAATTTCTCGATCCGTCTAATGGCGAGAAAAACGTTCCACGAGTCGGATGAATTTGCTGGTAAATCACAATAGAATGTTGTTGATGAGATGTTGAAGTGCCGGAGTAGGCTGCCGAACAATTCGGCGCGTTAGCGATAGCTGGTGGAACACACATGTTAGGCTTCATGTGAGATGGCAGACGAGAATGTTGAGGCAAGACAGGCTGATAGATGATCGACGTCTCAATGAGGCGGGGAGGAGGAGCGAGAGGCTGGAGAGCAATGGGCACATCGGGACCGGCCGACGTATGCCAACATGAAGAGCACTCAACTGCAGGGAAATGGTCTCCTCTAGGAGCCAGAAGCGCTAGTGGGGAACCATGCATCGAGTGTTGGTTGCAGTATGGGTGTGGAAAGGGCGGTGTCACGGAGCATCAGTTGATTGGTGCCCGAACTATATGGTTGGGAGCCACATAATGATAGCCAACTCCAGCCATGCCCAAACCAGCTGTCTCCATTGCTATCCTGTAGACAAGCCAATGCCAGAAAATGATATAATTAACTGGTCGAGGTAAGAAGTTATCAACCAACTCAACGTATTCTCAAACTCAGTACGTAATCAACATATTCTCAAACTCGAAGTGAGGAGAAATCTATTCCATCCATTTTCATTATAATAGAATATTACGTTTGATTCAAGGTGATTCTAAATGCTTCAATAAATGACAATAAATGTGTTACAGAACAAGGTTTGGTATCGGGGTTATATTTTGACGAATATTATTACATGGGGTTTTAGTATTTTGACTGTTCCGAACTTCAATATTTGAGTAGGGAGTGAGAGCAAATAAATTTATCATTCAATTTGCAAGGCTGAAAATGAAACATGATTCGCTTCAGGTCGAGTGCACCAGTTATACGCTTACCTTATCCGGTGACGATAAAACACCCGGGCTTCTGTTGCGACTATACTCACTGTGCACGCGCCTATGCGCTTTATTAAAAAAATATTACAAACTCCATGGGGCACCTAACTGCCGCTTCATTATATTTACAGAACCGGAATCTTATTGCGACAAACATCATAGAAGCCCGTTTCAACTCAAAAATATTAAATTTGCTATCATGAAATCATACAAATACATGATGACGGATTTACTCAAGTCATGACAAATCAAATAAAAATACCGAATTCTATCAGTAGCCCCTTTCAGAGAAGCACTGGCTTATTTGATTCTGAACGAATATAAATGAAAGTTTAGAACGAAATTGATTGTTGGCTCTAGAGACAATGCATTCCACAGCAGACCTCACGCAGCGTCTGATGCTTGTTTCTGCTGCAAGTGTTACAACTCTTCAACCGAACATTTTACAATACCTAAATGTTTCTATACTTGATAATAAAGTTAATATCTTCATGAGGAGGCAAAATAAATAACTTTTACCCCCTGATAGGCGTGCTCATGAGAAGTAAATCGAGTGATTTGAGTGCAGTCTTACACGCATGTCGGAGATGAAATTTAAAAATGTTGTTCATGAAGGCGGTTAGCCTCAATCACCGTCGAGTGAACAAGTTCAATACTAAGGTCTGAGCAGATGCTTTAATTTCGCCCCGTCACTGTCATCAAGATTGTTTACATCAACTAATAGAAATAGAGAAGCTAATTATACTCTCAGAGAGTGAAAAATTATATCATCGCTGATGTAAGCAAATATACGTCTCACTCGACGGCTCGGCATAGAATGAATTTACATTTGGCCGGAGAGTGTTATTTCTAAATGGAATTTCTTAGGAAGGAAATGGCACCGGCAAGAAGTTGGGATTGGGATGCAGGTTATGTTTCGAGGTCAGAGGTAAGGGCAGAAATGAAAGGCAAGTGTCGGAATTCTCAAACTTTACAAGTACAATTTAACCTTAGTGGAAGAAACATTCACATATTGAGCTGACGATGCCATAGGTTATCTTCAACAGAGATAGCCTTAACGAAGAAATTATGGTAAAATCTGTACATCGATAAACATTTTTTTAAAACATAAGGATCTTTGTACCACATTCAATTGATATTGTCTGAATTGAAAACGAGAGTAGCTAATGCCTGCAAGTCTCTTTAACCGTCATAAGCTCCCGAGGTTTATATACGTCATTAACTTGACTATGGTACAGTGCACTTAGAGATGATACACTGCAGGGGCATGAGCTCAACCGCAACGACTGCTTGACGCGCTATAACGTACATGACTACAATCAAGTGCACTGCACCGTAAACACTCGGCCGTAAGAGACAACACAACCCTATGAGATAAAACTACTTAAGCAGCAAAGCGCTGGCGACCACACCAACCTATGAATGCGGTCCATCACCAAGCCAAAAAAAGCTTTTAGAAGCTCCAAGAAAATTCTAAATAAATACCAAAGATAATATTCACACAACTAACAGCGCTAGTTACACTACTATCAGTAAAACATCATGCAGAAATGAACCCAGAGACAAATTACTGCTCATTAAGATGCCCGTAAGTTCGAACAGCTGGTCTAGACAAGTCCTTATTCGGCTATACAGTATATGAATCAGTCACTATCGTATCAAAGATGTCTTTATAGACGATAATACATTGGCATGGAAAGGAATTAACTTCGCCAAAACCACAATCCACATAATTAATCTATGTTAGGATAAGATATGTTGAACTTGACTCATCGGCCTCAACTGTTAGGATGATGAGCAACGTAGAGCTGTTATATTTTATTAGGGAATTTGAACTGAACAAGAGCTGAAAACGTTTTACGAGGTATCAGAAAATCGATTTGCATCAGAAATGAAAAGGAAGGTTTAGGAGGGAGAGAGATAGAGAATAGCTTGTTGAAATAAATAAAAAAAAAACGAGAGGGTGAGAAGTATTTGTGACACGTTCTCATTAAGCAGGATTAGTACGCTAGAAGAGATAGGTAGAGCGCATGAGAAATGTTAAACGCTCACAAAGAAGATATATCACACATGAAATAGCAACAAGGAAGAGCTGCAGTTTGTCCTACATGATATGTTTATTGTAAAGCTGCTGAAGTCAGCGCCGACATAATAAGGAACTAACATTCTAGAGCTTCATGGAGCTGCTGAACACTCAATTCTAAGCCACAACAAACATACCTAACGTTAGTACTTCCCAAAAAGCAAATATTATAGAAGCAAGATGCGAGTTATCGCCGATAGCTTCTTATATAAAAGCTTATAGTTCACGAACCAACGCTTCAAAAATTGCAAAAATTTACATATAATCAAAAAATAAGTTACAGTTGTTTGAATTTTTGTATTGAAACGACGTTGGAGAACAACGAACAAGTTTCTACAAATCTGCGAAGTTTGAACTCCTTTACTAAGATGTCAAGATCAAACACGGAGCTTAATCGGAACCCGCACATGTTCACAATATACGCAATGAGTATTCTTTAGGTGCGGACAAGGATGTAGGTTGAACGATCAAAAGGGTAAACGATCAAGGATGTCAGGATATATTGTCTTAGTAAGGGGCGAACTTGCTCCGCTTGCTCTCCTTAGGGGAGGAGCCGTTAGCGTTTGTAGAAGTGGCACCAGGCGAGATACTAGATCCCTGTAGCTGAGCAACAGCTGAGGAAGATGAGCGTAGTTTGGGCTGATAGGTTTTCTGACGCTGTGCCGCCTGAGAGGCAGCCACGGCAGCAGCTAAGGTCTGGGAGTCAGGAGCCAGTAGGGAACTTAGGGAAGTGAGACCCTGCAAGCCCGTCAGGGAGGATAGGGCGTTCAGGGCCTGAGGATTCTTCAACAGCTGGGCTAGAGGAATGGCATTAGGGTTCATCCCTGACGCAGAGGCACCGCCCTTACTTACGTCAAGTTGCGCCTTGTGCAGTTCCATGCTGGGGACAAACAATGGATGGGCCGAATGTTACGAGGGCAGACATAACCTCTCAAAGCCTCAGCCCACCACGCCGCACCGACGCTTGCTACGGCCCTAACTCGCATCAACATAAGGGTCCGTTCCCACTCTTTGTAAAATGACCTTATTAAAGCTCGAATGTTTGTGAACGTAGATAAAGCAAAAACCAAGATTCAACCACAAGGATTCTTAAGGATTGCAGGTTTGTAGCGCAATGCTAGCATAGCAATAGGACCGCAGTTCATGTTACAATAAGAAAAACTAAATTGATGGTTATCATTAGCCAGGGAAACGATATTTAGAGGTACATATAAGTGGATGGATGGTGAGGGAGAGGTGAATTTATTCCTGTTGGTGGTGGCACAATCGGAATAGAGTGAGTGCCGATAGAGCGTGCGATGACGGGTGGTGGTTCGGGCGGGAGAGAGGCCGGAGCATAACAAGGATAAGTACAGGATATTGTTACCAGGATCATCCTCACTTGCCAAGTTAACAAGAATACGATAATCTCAATAGGACAGGTTATACAGCAAGAGGTTATTTTGGCAGTCAATGTGATATTGGCAAGAAAAATTAAGATACAGATCAAATAATTGGAACATATCAAAGGAATAAAAACTTTGAGTTGCATCCATATGCAAAATTTACACAGATCAAGATGAGCAAGAAACTAAACAAGCTTGAACAATATTGGAAATCTTGCAATGAAACAAGTATATTGGAGACAAAATAAATACATACGCAATTCGATATAACGTAGCTGGAAAATAAAATTCAAATTAACAACTTGACAATTGAATTAAAGAAAATTTTTTTCATTGTGTCGCTTCGAGTAAACAGACTACAAATGATGAGAACAAAACAAAACATACACCAGGTAGGACATAACCCCCTAGATATAACCTAGAAAAAGATAACCAAGCAGGAGAACGAGCACTAAGAATATCTTAGCACCTGAATATAACAATCAAAAGATAACTAAGCAGGTGGACACAATGCAACGTTGCTGCCACGCTAGATGGCAGCAAAAATAGCAGCAGAGGACAGCGGCGACGTCAATCCAAGGATATAGGACACACACACACACACAGGTATGGAGATGATACAAGAACTTGCTTGTATTCACGAGTTATTTTCATCACTCATCAGCACAAAGTTCCTTGTAAATACACCAGAGATTTGACACTCAGACCTGCAGGTGCGGTTCTGCGCAAAGCGCTGCTCAGATGTGTCCACAGTAATGGGAGGGAATATTTCTTCGATGAACTTTTAACTAAGAGTAGCTGGAAATAATTTCAACTCGACTATTGCTTACTGAGAATCGAAAAAAAGGGTTTGAATGATTCAAAATGTCAATGTACTTTCCAAAACAAAGTGACTTGGTCGTGAACCCATCAGCTATACAAAATTAGAGTTTACTCTGAGGTTTGAATCATTTCCAGCTACTAGTAATTAACAATTGTATAAGAAAACAGAAACACGGACACTGAAATATAATTTTGAAGCGTCATAGCTCAAGCACAGTCAACTCATATTAAATTTTAATAATAATGAATGCTTATAGGAACGATAATTACAATTGAAATGAATAATTTTGTGCGTGTATTGAGCTTTGGCGCCACAATGTCATCACACGGCCACACTAGCTTTACTGCTCTACTGAAAAAAAATATCACTACACTCATTGCATTCCACAAGCATCCAAAAACTGAAAATTCAATATTTTTGTGGAAAATATCAAGCAGAAGGCTGTGAAAGACTTTGATTTAAAATATTCTGAGTGTTTGGTTTTATTGTTGATTTAGTGTTTCGCTGCGAGGTACCGGTAATGAATTGTACTTAATTTATTTTTAAAAATTGGACGATTCGTAAAAGAATTATTAATAAGAAGGGCACTACGTCACAGATAACAAGTTTCAATCCAAGTAGCAGCAAGCAAGACATGCGAGAGAAATGCTAAGGGCTTAGAGGAGGACTGCTACACAGTCATCCTTAGTTGCATTGCCTTGATCTTAAATAACTTCGATGTTGGATTGGGTTGAAAACAACAGGACTTAGAATAAAAAAAAATTTGTATCGTTAAAATAAAGAAGCTAATTGATTGTAAAAATGAAATAGCCAAGCTTCAGCACTAACTAATTTGGATCGAACATTGACCACAAACAACTTCTAATTCAAGGTAACGATTTACCAGAGAATTTAACGCAACAATTTACCTAACATCAATCCAAAAAAGATAGTTTGCCAATTCAAATTAAAAGGATAAGGAAAATAACTTTACAAGGACATGTTTAGTAAGGTAAGAGAAGATGAAGCCAGGCTGGTAATATTACAAAGACATGATACAAGGGACCACACAGGAGATCGAGATACTCACAAGGATTCTTTTGGATGTCAAGGCTCAGGGAAGAAATGGTAAGGGACTCGGCACACTTACTTGCAACTGCACAAGCGCATTACATTTCCGTGCCCCGCAGGCTTATAATTCGTTCGAATAGATTGTTTTTTCTTCTAAGATCGATAGAAACCCATGAGGTCAAACAGACACGTTATTAGCGTACATCTTCGAGGTAGCATCATCGCTTTTAAATGATCTCATATATTCACGGTATACGAACAAATACGGATAGAAGTGAAGTCATTGTATACTGTTTGTAATTTCCGTCATCATTCCCTAGCTGATAGCAGCAGGAGAAAGGTTTGAGGTGGTAATGGTGAAGAGAAAACTTGTGTACAAGACCGTAGCATGTCGTTTAACAAGCCGCGTTCAACTCACCTTTGAGAGGCGACAGTAGCCGACAGCGTCACTGAACTGACAGCGATTCTATAACATAGTAAGGGACTTACGTGTTTATTGTGACCGCGAAAATATGATTACCAAAAATAGAGCATCCAATTCTAGCAAATAAAAAATGAGAGAAAACAGCTCACAACATAGATATTATAAAGCGAAACTCACATCACTAGGAGACAGCAATGCATCGGAAACTTAGCTCACAGCAAATTTCGCGACACAAACGGACGAACAAAGTATAGTTCAATGAAGCAAAGTGGAAGAGAAACTTTGGACGGCCCTTCATATCAACGAAGGCAAGACCTTCAAGAAATAGATTAGGCAACTCGCAACAACGAACTCCACAGTCACGAGGACCCAACAGCTCAGCGTTACAGGCAAACAGGAAGGAAATTTCAGATCAAGAGCAGAACTCGAGTGCGACACCACAGATCAGGCTACATTATCTTCCATGATTGATGACAAGACGAGCCAAATCTCACCTGGTGTTGATGAGGTACTGGGCCAGAGCCACCTGATCAGCGTTGCCTTTGATGGTGATGGTGCGGTCCTGCTTGCTGGCGTCCTCGGACCCGTCATCATATTTACTGATGGTGATCATGGCGCCCGTGATTTGCCTGCAACACATGCACTTTAAGTACACGAGCTTCATGCACGATTACTTGGGTTTGACGCACTACGTTAAAATTACACTAGAAACAAAATTAAAGCTACCTAAGAAAATATAACGAACATTACATTTGCATTAGAGAACTATCATATAAATTGCGAGAAGACATCCACCATATTGAGAAATACTTTCATCAGGTGTATATACCAGTCTTAAATATTTTTGTCAAAGTCTGTGTGGGAGTTTGAAGCTTGGCGCCATACACATATTGGGGCTAATCGGGTACGTGTGCAGTATACTGATACTGTACACACAGTTAGAAAAATGACCGTTAACGGTATTACCGGCATTTCAGTGGCCGGTCGGAACGTTAAAAGAAACACCGTTTCACCGTTTTTATTCCAATTTAACACCAAAAATTCGTAAAACATCTGATAAAAACGGCGAAACAGTTTATTTTCACGGGGCGACCGGCCACTAGGATGCCGGTGGGACCGTTTTTCACCGTTTTTCCTAACAGTGCACGCGCCTGAATATTATCTGTATACTGCAAGGATATCATCTCGACCTGAAAATTCATTCTTTTTCTGGGAATAGGAGAGGATTGGAGGGCAAGGAGGAAAGAGTTTGATCGCAAATTAAAAATTGATTTCGAAATTGATAAGTTTCGAAAGATGAGAATAAAATGCGACTCCCAATTTCTAATCATATATAAAATGTAGGTTTGACGAGTTCTTTATTTATTATAATACATAGGCTTCATTATCGTTAACTGGATTTTGAATTACAGGAATGACCGAATTAGGATTAAAAAATTTCGGGAATAACAAGCCGGAAACAACTAGCTAACATGCTAGTATAAAATGCAATAAATCTAATGTTAATAGCAGCAAGAACAGCTTACGATAAAAATTAAAACTCTTTTGCGGCTTCATCAAGCGACGAGAAGAGTATGAAAGCATACCTGATCTCAGCAATTTTAGTGCCGCCCTTGCCGATGATGCAGCCGATGAGCTCATTAGGAACCGTCATCTCATGGGTCTGCGACCCGGCGCCCGTGCCCACCGGAGAGCGCAGCTGAGAACCCGCCAGTGCAGCCAGAGCTGTAACACCCAAGCTTATATTAATTTCTTAAGTGATGGCGCAGAAAATTACTTAAAGACAAAGCTGTTCAAAATTCCTTAAGATTTAAGAAGGAAAATAGCAACATGAAGATCATTATTAATATAAGTATGAGAATAGCAACATGAAGATCATTATTAATTAGAATACATGGCTGGTAGGAGTCTGACCATCAGAGTTGTTGCCACCGCCAGGTGTCATGGCAGGGCTCATGCTGATGAGACTGCTGAGTCCCAGCAGGCCCGACAGCGGCGAGTTTGCCAGCTTGCTCACCTGCAACAACACAACTGTAAGCAAAACATTTATATTGCTCGCTAGAGTAACTTATAAGTCTTGCTGGCTGTGCCAGGCTGCAAGTTCACAGGCACTGCGTGTGCCTGACGAAGGATTCATACTTACCAGCTTCATTGCTGGGGTCGAATATAAATATATAAATATAATTACGTCGAATGGGCCACAAAAAAATCATCCGGCTGCACGGTCTTGTCACATATCAACTTCATTCTTACTTCAGTCAAATTTATTGCCTCATGTCTCACCAAAAAAATTTTAACCAAATATATTTATACCGTCCATAAGAAATAAATTTCGACGACTAATGGCCGAGTACTACTTAAAAAAACAACAATAGGAACAAAAAAACTAACAGAACTTTATAATATGAATTAAAAATCATACGCCTTATTTATTTTCATAATATTTCCAAACATATAAATGATATAATAATGACCAAAAAGTGGAGAAAATTTTCAACGGTTACTGGCATTTTCCATTCATAAATCCACATGCACATCCATCCGCAGAGCCATGTTGTTCGGCCTCTTGTCACGTCTTCACTAATTAATGCTACTCAGTTAAGGAACAAAAAAATAAAATAGATTCTAAAAAACCCTCGTAACAAAAAATCCTTCAACGGAGCTTTGGCACTTTTAGAAAAATAAAAGTCCATAAGCACCGCAAGCGGCAGGCTCCCCAGCATGAGCCCTCCACTGGCCCCGCACTACGGCGCCGGCAGCGACGCAATGTGGTGGTCCTGTGCTGTGTTGGTGTGAGCGTGTGACTTGTTGTGACACTCTATATTTGTGCCAGGTAACTTATGATTTGAGTGACTTATTTACTCACTTGTTCCATAAGTGGGCCGTGTAAACAATAAGTTGTGTTATGAGCGTGTGACTTATTTAAACAGTCATTTGTTTCATACGAGTGCCGTATACCTAAGAAGTTTGTACTTTGTGATGAGGCGCAAAGCAGGGGAAAATGAGGATGGAAATCCCTTTATGAAAATGTCACAAACGAGCTACACTTTCAAAACTGAAAAAAAGTTAGAAAAGAGTTTATTAATTTTTGGACTCTTATTAGAACAAAGCAATCTCCATAAAAATTAATGCATGTCAGAGTGTCCGAAGGTTTGTCTACTGAAAAGTAAAGGGTTGTCACAAGTCAATTACGTATATGCTTTCCCAAGCGGAAACGAAGAGGCAATTTAAAAAAATTCGAAATGAAGAGTAGCTCAGGCCATACACGTTGGAAACGAAAGCAACAATTAATTCAGCGTCAAAAATTAATCCAAAAGATTAATTCAAAAAGGACAAAAGGACCATTTGTGAACTGAAAACAATTTTTGCTGAGGAATTTTCGCTGCAATGTAAGAGAATGTTTGCTGAGGAACACACACTCAAAGTCTAACAAACAAACGAGCGGAAACATCAAAATAAATAAGGAGATATAGACGGATTCAACGTAAAACTAAGCGGTGCTTCATTTTCGGTGAAGATATGATGCAGATGCACGATCTCGCATCCTGAGCTCTTCACGCACCCACCGTACAGCGAGTATAGAGAGCAGTAACAGGAGAAAGTAAGTAAAATCAGAAGACGAAGTCGAGGATTTTCATCCATTCTAAAGCACAAATGCGTGTGGCTTCACATTACAGGAAATCTTTAAAATTTTGAGGGACTGTTTTCATGCTAAATAAATAATGCAGTGTTTTATTAGCTTAATTAAATTTCATGAGATACTAGGCCTTTCCATCGGGAATAATCGTTAATCAAATGACACTTTAACACTCACATGCTAAACTTTAGTAACCAGACAAGCCAAAATCGAGCGTGATACGAAGTTATCTGCAGAGAATTGCGTAAAAGTAGTTTTAGTAGTGAGCTCGATTCTCCGTTTATCAGCAAGTCAAAACCAATCAAACAGAAATGCTCGTTGAACAGCAAAGAAAAAACCGCGCGATGACAACCACGTTAAGAAGTTTCTACTTCATCACAATGAAGCCGTGGCGCGAGGATACGGTATCGACAGCTCAACACGCACACTGGTTACTCCAAAAATGTGTTAACGTGTTTGCAGGATATTGCAGTACAAAATGATACAATAAACTAGAGAGATTGAAGAGCAAGTCTCGGAAATGAAGGAGCGAAAGTTCACACGAAGTGGACGTGTTGGGCGGTGCCTTAGGGAAGAATACGAGGACAGTGAGGGCGGTAGAAGAAAGGTAGAAGAAACATGCGATAGTATGCAAGCAAGGAGTGCGTAGGTAAACAAGATGAAAGCGTCGTATGTACAACACATAAAACAACGAAAATAATATATATAAAACTAATGCCCAACATTGTAAAAGTTTTGAACATCTACTAAATGTCATGATCATCCATAGAGCGATGACAGTTGTCGAAATTTTTGTTTATTATAAGCGCATTTTTACCCTCTGATTATGAAAGTAGGAAAAACGGCTTTTTTAAATTAAAAAAAAAGAAATGAACGCTGCAATCGATCTTACGTAGACTCAAGTTTAGCTGGCTGCATAAGATGGCATTAGAATGGAAGAAAGGACAAATTTGTGACTTGATTTTTAACGCAGCCTACAAAGAACGTCTGCAAAAGCCAAGTTTCAGAAGAACGCGTCAGTGCGTCAAATGGACATCTTGAAAAACGTCAATTGGCGCGACATAGACGTAACTTTTGTTAGAAGACAGTGACGCACGTTGGTACCGTTCACTTAGGACATCAGACCAATTACTAGGAGTTGTCGAACACAAGTCTTACTCTTTCACCACAGAAAACTTTCACCGCAGTAGGCAGTTATTTCCGTGATACATCGGCCAACAACAGATTCAGGAGCAAGGGGGACATACAAGTTCGGAATAGAGCGTCGGTTCACATTAGAAAGCACCAAGGATGCGCCAAAACAAATCTAGGAAAGAAAATGGATATGAAAAATACAAAAGGAAACACAATTGGTCACAGCAAGTAGACACTTCAAGTTGAGGCGGAAAACACGACATGGTGAATTGGTACGAAATCGTGTAAGGGCGGCAGACAGGAGATGAGTGAGTGGAGACTTCATTGTCCTGTATTTAAGCTAATGATCTAAAAAACTTAGAATCATTACTTTGTACGCAAGTTCCAGCTGGCCTTATTCGTATTGGCATAGTCAGAAAAAAAGTGAGAGACTGCAGGTTGTTTGAAAAACTTTCTTGTGAAATGTCGAAGCATTTAGCAAGCGCCGTCTACAGCGAGCAGATGACAAAAATTTCCCTACATATTTAAAGAGACTACGAGTGTTGGAGATGCGTACAATGTGCATGTGAGTTCATGTGTAACTATAAGACTGATGAAGTGTCGGGCCCAGAGATGCAGGGGAGCCTGCCCCCCTTATCAGCCCCCTCCTCTCCAATGCCTAAGATCAAGTCTGAGCGCTGCTGCTGTCGCCGACGCTCGTAGTACACATAACACAGCTAGACACGCACACAAAAACATTTAGTAGAAATCGGAAGCATCTGGAATTTATTATAATCAGAGTATATATGTGACACTAAAATATTCAACTTTAGATATGAGAAACGGTATACAACCGGTTGTTATTTCCGTAGCCATGCAATACAAGCTTAAGATGCTACGGACAGGTGGGCAGATATGGAGAGGAGAGAGGGTGGGGTGCAGACTGGCCAAGCTACAAACTGGAGGGTCGGGTTGAGGGAGGACGTCAGAGGGGCTAGACGGACGGATCAAAGGTAAAGGCTGTGTGCAGTCAAAGGCGCAGGTCGAGTTATGTTACAATGGCTTATGTTACAGAGCGTTATGAGTCTCGTGTTATGGAATCAAATGTATGAGTGACTCAGTTGTTGGGTCTGAGAAGTCGAGTCTCACGTGTTCAAGAATGGGTGTAATCGTGTATTTTCGGACGGAAGAAGATGGCGTGAGGTGGTGATGGTGGTGGTGGTGGATCTCTGACGGAGAAGGTTGTCCAGGGGGAGGCCATTGGATGGTGGGAGGAGAAGAGGTGGAGCGTCGCCCTCACTTACATCCTGTAGATGGTGGAGGTGAGGTTGGATTATCAGCTGACCAGGAAAATGACCATTCTTGAGATGTTCATGCGGTCCAGCAGGGTGCGGAGGAGGCATCTGCTGAATGTGGGGCGGCGCAGGGGCCATTTGTGGCAGGAACTGGTGGTGGTGATGGTGTCCAGTATGAGGTGGGCCAGGCGATGGTGCCGAGACAGGTACTGGGGCCAACAGAGGGCTCATTTGGGCGGTCATAAAGGGGCCAGGAGGCCCTCCTGGAGGAGGTGGACAGAACGGCGAGGTACTTACATCAGGAGCTGAGGGCACGGCGTAGTTACCCTGGATGGTGTAAGCTTGTCCACCAGCCAGGATCACAGGCCCGCCAGCCGCTTGTGGCTTAGGTCGGTACGGGATGGTCGCGCCTTTCGGGGGCGACTGCAACAAGGTAATTATGATATAAGAACGCGTACAAGGCAAGGTGAGCACGGACTAAAGATATAGAATGAGTTTTAATGCAAGGAACTGAAAAATTGTCTAACAGAGAAAATTAACGCAAACATCAGATTAGAGCATGTCTGTTTCTCGATTTTGCTATGTTGAATGGGACATACGAGTCCAGTAATTTAAGTAGTAGTGGTAATAATATAATGTTATATAAGTAGTAATAATAAGTCCAGTAGCTAATTCAAACCAACGTCAGATTTTGGAGAGATCAGGTTAAAAAGCCGCTTTTTAGATCTCCTCTGAATAAGTCACGAAGAGTACAAAAATCAGGAAAAGGCCATGGGTCTATTTCTTCGGCGCTAACGTTACTATTCTTTCCTGATGAATTTTTCTGATTGGGCAACGAAATGTTCGGCCCAAGTGATTTGCATCTTACGTTGCTACCAACCACTATCGAAACATACTATTAGAATAGACGACTGTTTATAACATGAAATTATTCAATGATTGCCCAAGCCCAATACTTAAGAAATACCACTGGAACACCCGACATGACTAGGAATACTTTCACATCCCGAGGTGCCCGAGAACAACTGGGTAGACGTAACGTAAACACAACTATAATAAGACTACGTGATGACGACCAACCTCGAGCATAACGCAGCAGATATGGTAAACACATTGAGTGATAGCCTCAGCAGTGCCAGACACGGTCACGGCGCGCTCCGTAGAGTTAGGCAGCATCTCAGACGCAACTTGGATGGAAGCGCCCGTCACCTCGCGGATCTCCTTGATTTTAGATCCGCTTTTGCCGATGAGCGAACCGCACTGCGATGCCGGCACGATAAGCCGCAAAGTGATGGGTGGTCGCTGCCCAGACCCGCCCATTGAACTGTTGTTCTGGTACATCTGCCCCAGGAACTGCACACAAATACAACCATCAAGTCCCAGCTGAACGTACATTGCAATGCTGCTTGTGCTAACAGACGCAATCAAATGTGATTATTTTAACCCGAAAAATGCAATAACGAAGAAAAATCTGAAAATGTTAACAACATGAAATAAGAAGCACAGAATGAGAAACGGGAAATATGGCATCAAAGCGAACGAATAAATAAACAAATTCCCTCATGAAAATTCAACAGGCGATACACAGTTCATCAGCAATGCTCTAAGCTTTAGTTACTATGAAATACCAGACTATCGAACAGAAGCTGCGAAAAAGTCCATGTGCTATGATGGAGAGATTCTCGGTTGATGAAGAAACGCTGGAGCGGCGGAGAGGGAGGATTTAAGAGCCCATCAGGGCGGCATAAACAATCCCTAAAGAGGCTGCCTAAATGAGATGAGCTCTAAGATCGTCTCCAGCACCGTAAAGTCATTATCTTCGTGACGCTATGCAAGCAACTTCAAGTGAAAACATCGCATGTCTCCAAAACATTACTACACGTTTTTCACCTGGAATGGTGGTCAATAATCGGCGTTTCAAATTGCACTCAAACGCTTTTAATCTGACCATTTTTCGCGATCGTCCACAGTACAATTAAAAATACCTATATTGGAATACATTTCCTACAAACAGCCGTTTGTAGTAGGAAATGTATTGTAGTTTATAAACAGCCGTTATAGCCTCCTAATCCACGATCAATGAAATTTTGGTAGTTTTTTAATTCATGGAAACCTGTTGCAACAAATCAATTTTACAGAATAATGGCCACGGTTGACACATGATCCTAAAAAAGAACGACATAAATCGACCAGCAAATAAATTTATATCACGCAACAATGCTAATACCTCTTCAAATTTGGCACAAATAAGTTTGAAGGCAGCGAAGATGGCTTCTGTGGTGCCCGTGACCGTGACCACGCGTTCTGGGCACGATCCATCGCTGATGTTGATCTTGGCTCCAGACTGAAAATAATTACGAATGAGAACAACTCTTTTTAAGTAATGTTAAAACGACGGCTTACTGATACTGAAGTCTGAACTGCCATTTTGATGCATATATACTAAACAATAATTAAGAAGATTGCAACGGAATCTAACCCTTCACTTGAAGGCATAACACTTGAATCGAATTAGTAAAATAAAAGGTGCACTCGTTCGGAAATATTTCTCAAAGAAGACTAAGTAAAATGTGATAAATCTTAGGAAATATTCATTGCATTGCATCTCACGCGTTCGATAATTTCAAAATGAAAATTGCTTTTAATATACAAATACTCGAAAGTCAAAGTTATTTATCAAAGCGAACAAGAGGGACTGATCAACTAATAAAATTCTTACATTTTACATCGAAAAGATTTAGTTTATGCAATTAAGGCTCACCTCCTCTCTGAAACGTTTGACGATTTCACCTTTCTTGCCGATGATGCTCCCGACTTCCTGCACACATGCAAACAAACAAACTCATTGAGGTATGCTTGCCAGTACGCAATATACACCATATCACAATAATAATAATAATAATAATAATAATTATAATAATAATAATAATAGCGGTTTCAGCGTTTATTAGGCCGTAGGCCTGTCGCCGATTCTTAACATCGCATAACATCTTAACATAATAACCGCAATGTCTACCACGTAATAATAATAATAATAATAATAATAATAATAATAATAATAGCGGTTTCAGCGTTTATTAGGCCGTAGGCCTGTCGCCGATTCTTAACATCGCATAACATCTTAACATAATAACCGTAGAGACGAAGAACATACATACGAAGCTGAAATTTTCACCGTGTTTCCATTTCCAGTTCAAAGTAAACAATTAGTTGCGAAAGAATTAGGAGAAAAAGAAGGTCAAATCGGGCTTCTGAGTTTACTTAGAGTTACTAAATTTTAGTTCGCCTTCAAAAAGAATTCATTTAGAAAAATTATGGATACGGGAATAAAATCGAAGCCAGTAACAAATATTGCATTTGTAAGCGAAGACACAAATGTAGTGAAATAGTTAAGATATATCAAGACGCCCTTGCGACGCCCACTCCCTTGACCCCTGTTTGCTGCGACGGGGAACGAGAGAGGCAATCGCATAGAAAATCAATACGGTATTTACTCGGGAATTGGAAACTCTCCAAACTGAATTAAATAGTAAGCTGTGAAGGTAAGTTCGCCATCCGAGTCAAGCTATCAAGGCTCAAAATTTTCTCCAAATCAACTCTTCTTGCACGGTATATATAAACCTTCACATAGAATACTCGACGTAACAACATTTATACGGAGCGCAATTCAAGAGAAAACGTGATCATTGCCACAGCGGTGAATGCACTGTAATAGCCATACACCGTAATCAAAATTGTCATGGAAGAATGTTGAGCACAATCACTGAGATACGTCAGAGATATGTGCAAGTGTTTCGTCCCGTCACGCCTGAAGTGAAGGCAAGGAGCTCAAACCAATTAGGAAGTTCGCGTCGCAACATAGTTACGGGGCCTCTTGCTCGATTATTAACAGTAACTTTACAAGCGTCTCCTCCGGACGGCATGAATGCAGCACAAGCATGAATTTAAATTATTAATTGCATTTTTCAAATCCTCTCATTCATAACGGTAATATGAATATCTAAGCCTTTTTTTCTATTCGCAAGAAAAATTGCGAGTACATGGTAAATAAGTAAATTAATAAAATAAATTCAATAAACACGTTATAGAAAAAAAAAGAAAATATTGAATTAAAGATGAAGCATCGGGCATTGAAACGATTGAAATTCTGCAATTTCATCAATCAGTGTCACACAAAGGGAAACCAAATTCGAAGGTTTCCTTTGTTCAGTGAGAACAATCTTAGCACCTTAATAAGCCTTGAAATACAACAATTGTCCAATGGAACATCTGTGACGTGAACGCACAAAGGAAAATCATCTGTGGGAAAAATTCAAAGCATCACACCGCGAAGCAATGGAGAGAAAAATCCACACCCAAATGAGTTTGCCATTGTCTCGGTTAAGCAGCGAGCCAAATGACACTCTATTGTAGGCGAAGCAGCAACGCATCAGCAATGAATACTTCAGATGAGCCCAACTGCCGTAGCGATGATGCGATTCCGAGAGGACTGCGCCCAATCATAAAGGAGCGGCGAAGAAAGCAAATTTTCTGCGAGACTGATGTCACGCAAGTTGCACCTGCACAACACCGATCCGCGCAAGACTTTTCCCATAGCACTTCCGGCACTATAAGAGTAGTCGGATATTGTTGGATATTCACAATGGAAATCTAGGTAAATTCTTTAAATGATTCAATTCTATTTTCAATCACGTGAGAACGATCCTAGTTAAGTGATACCAGAAGATGAGGCAATTTAGAGCAGTAAGCTTATATAATTTCAAGCAATAACCGAGTGACAATCCGGTCCGGTTGAAAATTGCCGCCAATGTATTTTTTAGGCATGAAAAAATTGGGGGAAAGTGCGAGTATTCTCAGCAAGCGGACTGCAAACCAACACAAAACCAATTGGCCCATTTCCTGCTCGACCAATAATGTGAGGCTAGTAAACAGCTTCGAATCACGAGATGCCGAGCTGGTGACAATGTCTCGCATAGGGACCAAAGAACTTGCACTTGCTTCACACTGAGCTCTGGCACGCAACCTTACGGACCTGCCTTCTCCTTTCAAAGGAAGCTTTCTGCACAAAACCTATGATACGAAATCTAATATCGGGACAATCTCTGCTACAGGGACAACGAAGTGAACAAAACTCAGGCATAACCAATGTAAAAGTTTTGCTAGTTTAATTGCATAGCAAACCAGAATGGCAACGATGTTCATTGAAATATGCAAATCGTAGAGTAAAACACGGCGCTTTGAATGCGTTGCATTATCTTGCATTAGGAAGATAATTCTGAAACCTTCATTCGATTTCGCAAATGTTTCACCACGTCGTTGCATAAACAAATGTCGTGGTCAGCGTCGTTGCATAAACAAATACCATGGAGTTGTGAAATCTGCTTTAAAAATGATCAGTACGAGCTCATTGAAATTGTACCATCAATGCATGAACGAGCGTCATTACAGGAAATTCCACTAACGTTTACCTGATTGAATACTACGATAGTGAAATAAACTAACTTTGATCCTCAATTATTGCAGTTATACAGCTAAAATAGCCACACGAGCTAGCGTTTGAATTGCAAACGATAACAAAAGAACGTTTTCAAGCTTAAAATTGTAAGAAAAATTGCGAGTCATTAGCCACGTTTAGTTGTCAGTAGAAGAATTTTTGAGCTAGAGGTCGTAAGAAAAAACAGCGAGTCAGAAGCCACAGTAAGTTGTTAGTAAAACTTGAGGTCGCAGGAAAAGTAGCGAGTCAGAAGCCACACTAAGTTGTTAGTAAAAGCATTGCTAAGCTTGAGGTCACAGGAAAAGTAGCGAGTTAGAAGCCACACTAAGTTGTTAGTAAAAGCATTGCTAAGCTTGAGGTCGTAAGAAAAGTTGTGAGTGAGCGGCTAGCCTGGCTGCCCTGCAATATTGAGAGGGGCCAGGAAACACTAAAGGGGAAAGAGTGATGGCTTCGCTGAGTGATCCGCACCCTCGTGTTATTTGCAGCCGATACTCCGCATAACAATACCATTGAACTCCATATATTCTGCGTTCATTTCCGGCGGTCACATGGACACAGATTATCTCGGTAACGTTCATGAATCATGTCAGCAAAACATCAGATTCTCTCAGCAGCGCACGAGGCTTGCAACTGATTCAACCCTGCATTAGATGATGGCGATCAGACATTTCAATTAACGTTCACAATTTACTCCTCGATTAATTACACAATTCTTAAACGTGAAACAATAAACCCGTGCACAGCGAGCGAGATTAGGACGTAATCACCTTATTTAACTCCCAAAATAGTGACGATCCGTTCGAAAAACTACTTTTATCACAATTAAATTATTTATTGTATCTTATGATTCAAAAAACATTTAAAATACCGCGAGAGAGTCATTCATGCAACGAAAACCATTGTTCTTTCGGCCAGTGACAAAAGTGGAAAAAATCTACAGTTGAAGCTAATGCTGGACGACAACCCGAAGTGACAAATAAATGATCTTACTAACAGCTTAACAGAATTGAAACAAATCCATGAAAATACTTAGGGTAGAATAAATGTAAAATAATGGTTATCAACAGATAGTCAGCAAATAAGCCACTGCAAACAACAGAACGAGTAAAACGTTCTTGTCTCAAAGCAAATACAATCGAAATAGAATTTGTGGCAATCCTTGCAGAGTTGACGGCGCTGTCTGAAAAGAAGCATCGTTGCCGCAGCGTCCACCCATGCGGCACGCACCATCGGAAGCAATGTTTTCCGCTACTGCCTTTGGATTAAATGGAAAGAACTGCGCCCGAACAAAGCACTCAGGTCGGAAAACTGCCTCAGACATTCAAATAGAACGGTTATGAACGAGTCTACAGAGAGCGACGTCTTCGGGAAAATTTCCAGGCAAGCGAGGAAATCGAAGGCAAGTCCGATGACTGTTGAACGTCTCTTCGGCGACGAGTGATTATGACAACGTAGATTCTTAAGTTCAGAGGCTGAACACAAACACGGTTCAACTTCTCACGACTAATCTTCTTTTCCCATTAAGCCGGTAATACGAATTATTAACTAAGCCATATATCACGTAGTGAAACGGTTCCTAAAATTACTTGTGATCGCTCTGGATTCTGATGGTCTAAAGAATAACAAAGAGGGAGAAGGTCCTCTAAAACTTAAATTTGCCTCGTTTGAGTGAGAGTCTCCCTTTAAAAAAGATATTTTTTGAGTCCTCAAAATAAATTAAGTTTATTAAACCTTGAGAATTATTGTCTGCTTTTAACCCTGAGTTTATAATATTTGTCAAGTGAGGAGAAATGCAGTCAGTCCATTATTCATCGTTTGTTGACCGGAAACTGTCCAGCTCTCAGGGTGCGGAGCTGGGCAATACCTGTGAGAGGTTAGCTGCAATACTTCTATCCTTTGAAGACCAAGCCTTGAGTTCCGTTGGAATTAGGAGAGCAATTCAGCCCGGAGTTGAGAGTGCAGTTGTCTGCATCAGAAATTCTTTGAGGCAGATGCGAAGTATGGCAGTTGAAGCGCTTGAGGCAATGTTGAGTCGGGTACCCGAAGCAGGAGAAGTCGACGGCCGACAAATATGCCAGCAAGACTCCAGACTCCCAAGAACCGTATGGGCGTCTAACTCCTGCCACTATGAATAATTGATGGTTTGCCAAGTTTACAGGGATGAAGAATACAGGGAGCTTGCAGGTCGCGGATGAATATGGCATCGGTAGACCTCACAATCAAAATAAAAATAAACTGTTCATCCAAACAATGAAAATTTTCTTTTCGAAATGTAAGAAAAACAAACTACCGTAATTTCACTATGACATTTTCAAAAATAGTTA